CATTTTTTTCAAAGTTCATATATTGTTTTTGTTTTTATATTGCATTAATTCTAGAAATCATTTTTGTTACACATACAGAAATATTCAAATTTTGATAGTATTGTGCATGTTTTGAGGCTATGAAAAAAATTTCCATCCCTTCTCATGAATTGCTCATAGTTTAACTTAGAAATGGAAGCATAGGCAAGTTGACAGTGCTCAGTTCTTGAACAAGAGAGGCAGGAAAAATGTCACAAAAGAGTTGTTCTTTGAGCTATTTTAAAAGATGAATGGGGGGCTGGAGAGATGGCTCAGAGGTTAAGAGCACTGGCTGCTCTTCCAGAGGTCCTGAGTTCAATTCCCAGCAACCACATGTTGGCTGACAACCATCTGTAATGAGATCTGGTGCCCTTTTCTGGCCTGCAGGCATACGTGGATGCTGAATAATGTGTATATAATAAATAAATCTTTAAAAAAAAAGATGAATGGGGGTTTGGAGAGATGGCTCAGTGCTTTAGAGCACCAGCTGCTCTCGCAGTGCATGTGGATTGGGTTTGCTGCACCCAATGATGACTCAGAACTGTATTACCAGTTTCAGGGATCTGCTGCCTTCTTCTGGCCTCTAAGGGCACTCTACACACATGGTACATATACATGAACATAGGCTTACACACATGCTCATTTTCTTTTAAGTGAAAAGGTTTCTCTACACATGAGATTAAAATCATTCTATAGGCAACTGTCGTATAGCATTCTAATCATGGAGAACTTCGTGAGCAAGCAGCAGAAAACTGGCTTTCAGGTGAGTTCAGTGTGGTTAGAGAGTAGTGAATGAATGGGATTATAGTGGGATGTTACAGTGAGGGCTATCAGAAACCAATCTCAAGAAGGTTGTATTATTTGTTGTTTTTTACATGTATTTATTTTGCATGCTCTGAGTGGGGAATGTACCCTGGCATGTATGTAGTTGTCAGAGAATAACTTTGAGTTGGTTCTGTCCTTGTACCATGTGAGTCCTGGAGATCAAGCTCAACGAGAGCTTTAGAGCTCAAATTCCAGTGACCCGAAAAGTTGCCTATATGACATATAGATTGATAGCTTTTCTCAGATTCTCAAAAGGATAAACACCCATTTAATATAAAAAGGAGCCAAGAAGCCATGCCAATAAAGAAAATAGAAAAGATATAGAGAAAGTCATGCCTTGAGCCTTAAGGAGTGTAAGGTTGTGACTACTGCTATATAAAAGAGGTCAGATTAGCTGAGAACAGAAGACTCAGCTGGCTTGGTAGTTAGGTTGTAAAGTGGAGTTAAATGCATATGCACTTAAGTTTCACACAGACCATGGCTTCTAAGAATTGTAAGAAGTACTGGAGTGGCCAACAGTAAATAAAGTTCAGCCAGGTGTTTAGGGTTGCCCACAGTTACTTATTGGCATTAGCACTGTTGTTTTCATCTCCCTTCAGCATTCTCAACTGCAAACTGAACAGATCCATCTTGGGACTGGGTTTGTTTTTTGTTTGTTTGTTGTTTTTTTTTTTTTTTGCTTTATTACAAACCACAACATTTGCTTTCATCTTGCCTACTGTGTTCCATACATACACACAAAAGTCACCCTTTGATAGTAGTTTTTTCTGCTTTCTTTTTTCTCTTTTCTAACTGTCTGACCCCTACTGATTACCATCTTTCTGTGTTAATAGTATTGGTTATGTTATTTTGGCATTTAAAATTGAATTGACTTCCATTGATATTTATTTCACATATTGCCTTTTCATTTGTTTGTTTATTTCACATACACATCCATGGTATGCTAAAAGCCAAAAAGGTTTTTGGCTTTAATTTTGAATTATAGGTTATTGAATTAATTAAATTTGCCTTATAAGTCAGTGGTTTTTATAAAGTAATCTTATTTTTCAAAAATTGAAGTCTTTTTTAGATTTTAAAAATGAAATATGCATATAAAAGACTACAAACAAGAAATAAAATATTAATATTTTCATACTGTGTTGTCAAAAACAATCTTGCTTTTAAAGTATATTTCCTGTACAGGAATTGATTAGTTACCACTATGGTTGTTATATGTATATAAAAACCTCAGTTATTTTAAATACAAGTGACTTATCCAAGATTAACAATTACAGTTATTTGGGAAATGAACTTCAATGATGTTTCTTTTCATTTGAGTGGTAATTTAATCATGCAGCCTAGAGCCAGCACTTGCCTTTTATTATTTTCTGCAGTAAAAGTGTGTGTTGCTTTCTTCTGGTATCAAAAGTCAAAACTTAAGAGTTATAGGGAATAGATGGGTTCAGACAATGCTAGTTGGATCTCATAACTAGTTTTGTGTAGGTAGATCTGGTATCAACAGTACTAAATTATCATTACTTGACTGAAGGAAAAAATCTTTAGGCCTTAGGCCCAATTAGATACACTTTGGTGTATATCCAGGCTTTCTATTTCTCCTTTCTGTAATGACCATACATACATACATAACATACATACATACATGCATACATGTATTATGATCATATAGTTTGTGTACTATATATCGTCAGATCATAATTAAGTACATTTTAATAGAAAAGGCCCAAACATATTTTGGACAGTTTTCAAAATGAAACAGTTCTTTTAATTCATATGAATTATGGTAGATGAATAGGACATAAAAAAATTAAGGTACTGATACTGAGGATAAAACAAGCTCACTATGGGAGTGCAGCTGTTCTTGAACTGAATTTGTACTTTAGCAATATACCAAAGACCCTGAGTCATTTGGGCTGTAGGGATGGGTTATAACTCAGTGTAATGCTTGTCTGGCATGTGTCAGTCCAGAGTTTGAGCTCTAGTACTGTGTGTGTTTTGGGCAGGGGGATAATTAGTAGGTAGTAAAACAACTATTATATCCATTCCTACTTAATAATAAAAGTTACTGAAATTTTCATAGGCAAATTTATTTCAATAAATAAGTGTTTTTTTTTAATATCCACAAATTAAGAAAACACTGGACAGCAAGATGGCTTAGTGCGTAAATGCACTTGCCATCGAGCTGGGCAACCTGAATTTAATCCTTGGGACCCACCTGGTGGAAGAAGAGAACCTACTCTTGCATGTTGTTGTTATTCTGCACACATGTATTATAGTATATGTATGTGTACCTATACAAATATATACATATACACAAATAGATGTCCTGTTGTGGAAACTCCTTCAATCAATAGCATTTAAGATACTGGCCCACTTAGGGCATGGTGTATGTGGGCCCTTTTCCTGCTGTATTCAGTTCCAGTTCCCAGAACACACAGAGGACTATGGATTGCTACTCTTATTGTTAGTTTATCCCCAAATAAAGCTTTGTTATACTCCATTCCAGGCTATTGTGGAACTCTTTGATACAACTACAATTCAGGTCCCACATTGGGCGCCATTTTCAAAATGAAGACTACCTTTGTTTCCTGACTGCCCAGACCTGAATAATCATACATAAACTATATTTACTACAACCCTGCTTGCCCAGCATCTTAGGAGTATTCCTACCTAGCTCTTATATCTTGAATTAACCCACTTATATTAATCTGTGTATCACCATTAGGCTGTGGTTTATCATAAGGTTTCAGTGTCCTCCTTTTGCAGCTACATGGCATCTCCTTGACTCCGCCTACTCTCTGTATCTCTGTTCTGATTTCCCATCTGGCCATATTCTGCCCTGCCATTGGCCAAAGCAGCTTCTTTATTAAGTAGTATAATAAAACATATTCACAGCATACAGAGAGAAATCCCATATCAGATGTCATGTAGAAAAGTTAAAAATAACAAATGTTTAATCACCATAGTTATTTATTTTTTAATTTTATGTGTATTGGTGTTTTGCCTATATCTATGTCTGTGTGAGGATGTCAGATCCCTTGGAACTGGAGTTATAGGCAATTGTGAATTACCATGTGGGTGCTGAAAATTGAACCCAGGTCCTCTGGAAGAAGAGCCAGTGCTCTTAACTAGTGAGCCACCTCCACTCTCTCCAGCATCCCACCCACTTTGATATTTTAGGAGCATTTCTGAGCTTACTTTACCTTAGGGTCCATGGATATGTGTTAGCTGTTCTAAGATGAAGAAATTACTGAAAGACATCACTTCAGAATTTACTACTATTGTACATGAACTGCCTTTAAATTAAGCCCTTAGCAGTGTCAGCTGACCTTAAGGAAAGAAACAGTCACTGTGTGTAAAAGAGACTTCAGAAACCACGATGGCCAATAACATTCTAGGTGATAAGAAGTGGATCTTTGCTGTCCTTCATTCCTGCTACTTAAGCTAGATAGGTCAGCATTTATTAAAAGTTAATATCTGGTAGAAACAATGATGTGAACTGCAGTGTTACTTTAATTTCTTGGTAATCACATACAAAGTAGTAATTGGTTTCAATAATATATTTAATTCAATATCTGTAAAATATTTCAACATTACAGGCATTTTTAAAGGTAAAGATATTTTGCACCTCCCATTCTTGAAACTCATTGCAGTATTTATGCACAAAGTACATCATTTGAGTATAGCCACATTTCAGGTTCTCAGTAGCTACATGTGGCTAACAGTGACTATTTTATCCAGCGTATCTTTAGAACATCTAAGGGATGTGTGGCCATGACATTGAGGATATAAATTCTCACATGTCCAGTGAACATTATTATAGCTCTTAGAGAATACATGGAACTATGCTGGCCATATGAGCCACTAGCCTAATGTTTGCTTTGGGACCGCCTGTTTCCATGATCAAGGTAAATAATTTTTTGTTTGACCTAATACTATTTAGTAAAAGTCATAGGTTTCAGTGCCTCTATCTTTCTCTAGATAGGATGCTTGGGTCCTTTGTCAGATGTTATGTCTCATTAAATAGTGTGTTTCAGATAGCATACAAAAGTTCAGTTTATCTGACTTACACTTGGCTCTTCATGTATTTTGAATTATTAAGAGAAATGCCACTGTAGAGACTGCCATAATCTAAATTGTATTTTCTTTTCTATTTTAAGGATGTAGAATATTACCTTGTTAAATGGAAAGGATGGCCAGAGTCTACAAATACTTGGGAGCCCTTGAGCAACCTCAGGTGTCCACAACTGCTGCAGCAGTTCTCCAGTGACAAGAATAGTTTCTTATCTCGGGTAAAGAAAGGGAAGGCAATCACTCCAAAAAACAGCAGGAGATCCTTGCCACCTGCGGTTGCTAAGTACATTGTAGAGAAAGCCAAGCAAAGAATAGCTCTGCAGAGATGGCAAGATTACCTCAACAGAAGAAAGAACCACAAAGGGATGATATTTGTTGAAAATACTGTTGACTTGGAGGGCCCACCCAAAGACTTTTACTACATTAACGAATACAGGCCAGCTCCAGGAATCACCATAAACAATGAAGCTACCTTCGGATGTTCATGTACAGACTGCTCCAATGGAAAGTGTTGTCCTATTGAGGCCGGAGTTGTTTTGGCTTATAATAAGAACCAACAAATTAAAATCAAACCTGGCACTCCCATCTATGAATGTAACTCAAGGTGTCAATGTGGACCTGACTGTCTCAATAGGATTGTACAAAAAGGCACACAGTATTCACTGTGCATCTTTAGAACTAGCAATGGTTGTGGCTGGGGTGTAAAAACCCTTGTGAAGATTAAAAGAATGAGTTTTGTCATGGAATATGTTGGAGAGGTACATTAAATTTCTCCTATGAATATGAGCTTTATACTTTCAAAAAGTTACCTTTCTACCTTATTAATGTAAATACGTGATACGTTTTGATATTATCATTTGCGGATATGTAGAAATTCATTTTCAGGTTTAGGAGAAAGGTTCACTGGTATAGTTAAAAATGTAAAACTTTTTATATGAGCAAATAGATAATAAAATAAGTTAATAGCTAGCATTCATTCATAACCACTGACTGAAGCATATTTTTTAATTTAAATATATATATATATATATATATAAATATTTAGTTTTTCAAGACAGGGTTTCTCTGTGTAGCCCTGACTGTCTAGAACTCGCTCTGTAGACCAGGCTGCCTTGAACTCAGAGATCCGCCTGCCTCTGCCTCCAGAGTGCAGAGTGCTGGGATTAAAGATGTGCACCACCACCACCTGGTGCCCATATTTTTTAAACTTAACTGTATTTACACAGAAATCTTAAGAAGAAAGTCAGGCCTACTTACATAAATGCTGACATTGAAACTTTGAAGTTACATTTATTTCATTATTTGGTCCAATATGGTTAAATTTCTTTTCTGTTTTGTATCAGTGTGAAGAACATTACTGAGCATAAAATACTTTTAGTATTGTCAAATATGTATAAAAGCATTTATTACTGGGTGGTGGTAGTGCATGCCTTTAATCCCAGCACTTGGGAGGCAGAGACAGGTGGATTTCTGTGAGTTCGAGGCCAGCCTGGTCTACAAGAGCTAGTTCCAGAATAGGCTCGAAGCTAGAGAAACCCTGTCTCGAAAAACTTTAAAAAAAAGCATTTATTATAATAATAAATAATAATACTACCCTGAACTACAGACCATTTTCTAATTACCAAATACTAGCATATTTCCTTTGATAACTATCGTATGCATAAGTATTAAAATAGTACTCATCATGGGCCACAGCTAAGCCCCTTAGTATATTAGCCCCTAATCCTCAAGTTTATGAAAGAGGACTTATCTCCACTATTACAAATGAAGAAGCAGGCACAGAGAATTTTAGCTAAGAATATATATCACTTTGGCTAGTGTTGGTGTCTTCAGTTGAACACTGACCAAGCTGTGACAGATTCCATGGTAACAGGGATGATTGGAACCTAGCCAGTGCCTGATGCTTGAAGCTGAATTACATCCCTAGCCCTAGGCCATGATTTTGAGTTGAAGCTTCTGTTCTGAAAAACAAAGCTTTTCAAATGGCTCATTGCATATATTACATAAAGCCTGTTGTATAACCAGTTTCCATTTGTTAGTCCTCATAGGACACTGGTTCTCAACCTGTGGGTCCAACACTTTGGGGATCTCAAAGCAGATATTTACATTATAGTTCCTAGCTGTAAATTACAGTTATGAAATAGCAATGAAAGTAATTTTATGGTTGGGGTGACCACAGCATGAGGAACTGTATTAAAGGGTCGTAGCACCAGGAAGGTTGAGAGCCACACTATATAGCCTTTTGAGAGTGCATACTCTTGTGCGGGTAACCTTGTTCCTCTGTCCTGTCGAGCATAGGTGGGCAGCTCCTTGCACAGCCGGATTATAATGCAGGTAGTACAGAACCATATCTCAGCTTATCTCAGATTTCATTTTCAGAAGTCCTTTATACCATCACTTTCCCTCATTTCTATACTGTTTTTTCTATCTAGCTTTTAGCTCATATGAATGTTTGTTTTGTTTTGTTTTGTTTTTTTGATTTTTCGAGACAGGGTTTCTCTGTAGTTTTTGGTGCCTGTCCTGGAACTAGCTCTTGTAGACCAGGCTGGCCTCGAACTCACAGGGATTCGCCTGCCTCTGCCTCCCGAGTGCTGGGATTAAAGGTGTGCGCCACCACCGCCCGGCTCGAATGTTTGTTTTGATGACACTTGAATTTCTTTTTAAATATTTGTATCAATGTTAATAGCTTAATAATGCTTCTTTGGCTCCACAGTAGCTATATAATATTCTGTGGTTTTGCAGAGTACTGTGTCACTTGTAGTCTTAGCTATGCATGAAACTGAGGTAGAAAGATCTTTGGCGTTCAGAAGTTTGACAGAGCCTGTCACAAAAAGAAAAACATAAAACTACAGTTCTATTGTTGTTTCTCCCCATCTTAGGTGATCACAAGTGAAGAAGCTGAGAAGCGTGGACAGTTATATGACAACCAAGGAATGACCTATCTTTTTGATCTGGACTATGAATCTGATGAATTCACAGTGGATGCAACACGATACGGAAATGTGTCCCATTTTGTGAATCATAGTGTAAGGAGCAGTAAGACAAATAGTTCAATTTAGTGCTGTAATGATTAACTGTAAGATAATCATTTTTATATAGCCATTCATAGTATTTTAATATAAGGGCTTCTGTTAAGTCAGGACATTATTGCTATAATATAACATATATATTGAGGTGTTTACCAATTACTGTGTTCTACTAGTCTTTATATCTCACTTCATTTAAACTTTCCAATAACTTTATAGGATAGATAGATAATTTCATAGCAGAAGAGGGCAATTAATAACCAAGGGAGTTAAGCAAAAGTTTTGAAGACTCAACAAAGTTATCTTACAGAAGTTAATACTACTAAATTGTACAATGTGCAGTAACCCTTTACCTTAGCCACATTTTATTCTCCATATTTTCAGTTTCCTAGTTAACTGTAGTCCAGAAATACCCAGTGGGAATTCTAGAAATAATCCATTCTTAGTTTTAAGTTGTTTGCTATTCTGATAAGTAGGTGAAGTCTTCTGCTGGAGACTTGACCCATCCCTTTGTTCAGTGTGTATACACTGTATATGCTACCTCCCAGTCACTTAGTACCTCTCTGGGTTACCAGGCCAACCATTATAGTATTATTTGTGTTCAGGTGACCTTATTTTACTCAGGAATTGCCCAGAAGCACAAGATTAGTAATGCTAGCAATTTGGATTTGCCCAAGTGTTTCCTTTAAGCCACAAGGCTAAAGTACAATAAGATATTTTCATAGACACAACACTCATATAACTTAAAATTGTTTTGTTTTTGTTATTTGTTAATTTCTTACTGTGTCTGAAAGTTATAAGTATATATGTATAGGACAAAATCCTACAATATAGGGTTTGGTACTAACACCAGTTTCAGTCTTCTGAGGATAAGGAAGGACTACTATACAGTTTAAGGTAACAGGATTGTTTGTTTTGTTTTGAACGTCAGTGTGTTAACACTGCAGCAAAGCATTTAGGATTATTTCCCTAAATTATAAATTAGTATTCTTTAATTTTTAGTTCATGTTTTAAAAAGTTAGATCTGCAGTCTTTTCTTTTTAAGATTTTATTTGTGTATGTGTGTGTATATGTGCACAGGTGCCTGTGGAGGTCAGAGGGGCAGGCATCAGACCCCCTGGAGCTGGAGTTACAGGTGTTTGTAAGCCTAATGGGGGTGCTCAAAACTGAACTCAGGTCCTCTGCAAGAGCAACAAGTGAGTGCTCTTAATTGCTGAGCCATCTGGCCAGACCCCTAGAACCACAATTCCAGAATCTTCTACTTTATAAAACTTGTTTCCAAAACTAAGGACAATAATAATTTTGGGGCACCTTCTAAGTACCAGACAATAAGCCCAGTGAGGTTAGTACTTTTGCCATTTTATATATACGTGGCAGATAATAAAGGAAGTATGTCTTAGATAGTATGACATATAGCCAAGTTAAAATGTCTGGTGGATTGCTTACCAAGAATTGTATGTGAATCTCAGTGACATGTAAGAGACTGTCTAGACTTCCTTTTTGGTTGCCTGATTTCTTTAAATGTTTGTTTAAAATAATTTCTTCTTAATGACAAATTTGAGATTTAGCCATCCTCAGTATCTTAGGGGATTAGTCATGAGACCCCCCCCGAAGGTGCCAAAATCCTTATTAGTTCCTCATGTTAAATTTGAGACATATGTAATAACTCATAATCCTCTTTTATACATTAAATCATCTGTAGATTACTTCTAATGACTATTAAAATGTAAATAGTTGTATTCACAGACTGAGGACAAGATCACTCAGCCTGTATATATACAAGACTATGGTATGATTATTCTTTTATAATCTATAGTTAGTTGACTTTGCAGTTGGTTGAGTACAGATGTGGAACCTATGAGTACAGAAGGCCAGCTCTACTACCAACATATACTTCCTACTTGGGGACGATTAAACACCAATTTAAAGACTCCCTAGATCTTTCTTCTTGCATATTCTCTAGTTTAGTGTTCCCGAAATACTGAACAAGTCCAAACAAAAGTTTAAGCAATGAAACTATGTAATATAAAATTTGAGTTCCATGGTGCTGATTTTATTTTAAAATAGTTATTTAAAGTATCTATACACACATATTATTGAAATAGTTACAAGTAAAATGTTCATGTTATAGATGGATTAAAATTCTCCAGAAAAAAAAAGCTAAGACAAATTGACATTGGATACTTGATTTATCTTTTTCTATGATTGAGAACTTTTATATATGAAAAGTGTATTTTGAATGTGCATGCCATCGGAAGCAGCTTGGTTGGCAGAACTTTTGTGGGAGGCTAACCTACCCTGTGCTGTGGAGCGCAGACGGGCACCTCGTGCCAGTCTCACTTCAGCAGCTTTTCTTCTCTTCAGTGTGACCCGAATCTTCAGGTGTTCAGTGTCTTCATCGATAACCTTGATACTCGGCTTCCCAGGATAGCACTGTTTTCCACAAGAACCATAAAAGCTGGAGAGGAGCTGACTTTTGATTATCAAATGAAAGGTATGGTTTTCAAGAATAATTTCATTGGTCTTGGTTTCAGTATGACAATGAAGGCAAGCCAAACTAACATTGAAGGTAAAAGAAATCAGGCAGGGGGAGGGACACACTAAATAAATATATGTGGAGAAGATGGAACACATTACTCTATACTAATTTAAAAATCTTTAAAAATGAAAGTAATTGTGTGTCTGTCATCTTAAGGTCCAAAGCCCATCTGACAACTAAAGCTAGCACTCGGTCTGTCTTTTAAGTCACTGCAGACTGATTTTTCTTAGGACTTCCATTTTGGAAGCTGATTTACAACACCTTTTCTCAATAGTATTAGTAAAAATAAAAAGGTTTTGAATTTTTACTAATAGATAAATATTAACAAGATTGAAAGTATGATTTCAATTACATATGAATTACTTCCTTCTTGAATATAGCTTTTTAAAGTATTTAATTATATTGCCTATATTGTGATTATGAATATTTTCTATGAACAATGTGCTTTACATGCTGTTCCTACTTGGCCTCACTGCCTGTGCTTTTCATGGTGTATAAAAAGAAAAATTGTACATTGGACTTTCTCTTACACTCTGGTTTCTCTTCAGATTGTATAAATCTTTTACCTTTTACATTGAACTTTCTCAGTAAATGTCATCATGGCAGATAATTCACATTAACCTATCCCATTGTTTCAAAACAACTCAGAACAAATTGTCTCAGGATTTCACAGAAGTACAAAGCTATTTCCTTGAAAGTTAACTAGTGCCTTGAGAAAATAATCACCATTGCTAGCTTCAGGAAAGCCAGGGTTATACAAAGAAACCCTGTCTCAAAAAACCAAAACCAAACAAAACAGAAAATTGAAGTCTATTCTAAAGTACCTTTTATGGTTGAGACTGGGTCTCACTATATAGCCCTGGCTAGTTTGGAACTCACTGTGTAGACCAGGCTGGCCTCAAACTCAGATCCACCTGCCTCTGCCTTCTGAGTGCTGGGATTAAAATATGTTTTTTTAAAATAAAGATTTGTGTGTGTGTTCATGTGAATATGAGTACCCAGAAGGGAGCATGGGATCCCCTGGAGCTGGAGTTTTAGGCAGAAGTAAGCTGCCTGACATGGGTACCAGGAACTAAACTCTGGTCCTCTAGAAGAGCATGGACTACTCTACCTGCTGAGTCGTTTTCAAGCCCCTGTTCTAAAATATGTTTCCCTCTCTGTATTTTCAGGTTCTGGAGAATTGTCTTCAGATTCTATGGACCACAGCCCTACCAAAAAAAGGGTCAGAACTGAATGTAAATGTGGGGCTGAGACTTGCAGAGGTTACCTCAACTGAAACTTCAGGAAATGGAGCACATGATTGTGTTTTGTTCTAAGAACTAAAAAAGTATTTTTTTATTATTTCTATTATCAAGATTATATGTATGTTAATGTACAACTTGTGTCTCAAGATATTTGCAAAGTACATTACTCTTGCTTTTGAAGAGGACTGCAGTGGCCAACCACATAAACAATATATTTGGTGGTTACATACTAAATATGGAAAGTGAACTATTTGCAAATCACTGTGTACTACTTAATAGGCGTGTATCCCCTTTAGTGACTGAAAAGCAATGAGGCAATGGCTGTTGATATCATACCTTTTATCATGACTCAAATAGATAATTCAGTTTAGGCAAATGTACAGATTTTACTTTTTTACTATATTGTTCCTGATTTTAATATCCACTGATCTTGTATTTGAGACAAGTAAGCAACACTGAATTTTTTTTACTGTATTTTCTACTTTTACATTAAAACATTGACATCTTAATGATGTATTTCAAGTATAAAAAGAAATGTGAAAGATATTCTTTTAGCTTGATCTCATTCTGAAGCAATAGAGAACATTACAAAGACTATGTCTGAACCTGAAATTCTTAGATTTTTAATCCTGTTGAAGAAAAATCTCTAATCACCTTCTCTAGAAGTCCATAGTGGCTGGCCATTATGCTTCTTTGCAAGGACATAACAGTGTGGCTAAGAGGACCCGTTGGGAGTGCCAGGCAGGGTAAATGAGTACAAAGTGAGCCACAGTCACACTGAGGTGAACCGAGGTCACACTGAGTAGCTCTCATCTAAATAGAAGAGCAACAGCCTCGGAGAGCACTTGTCCCTAATGGCAGTGTAATTCACATCACATTACTGTTACTGCCAGGCAGTTTTAACATTTCGTTTCCACTAAATTTAATTATTTTTGCATTTTCTGTATGTCCTTGAAAAGTAACTTATATTTGAACAGATATTGTTTTATACAAGAATTTTTAAATGGATAAAACTAAATTTGGCCAAAGTTATGTCTTATTGAACTTTTATTAACCTGTGGGGATTAGATGGGATTTTCCCATGTATAAAATACAATAAAGAAAAAACTTACTTTCATCTTTCTGGATCTGGGAGTTCTAATCATGGTGTCCAGTGTGAAGACCAAAAAAGAAAGAAAGAAAGAAATGGCAGCAAATAATCCTTTCAGTGTCCTGATTAAGATTTACCTAAGCTCACTGCTCCAGGCTTTAATAGGCTATAATAAGCTCAAGTAAAATGAACTGAATCCAGGAATTCAGCACTTCCTTTATCTTCTCTTAACCTGTTTTGGGAGAAGCTACAATGTTATTCAGAATATTACCTTCACAAGGCTACTTGTTCACAATACATAGGACACACTGTTTGCATATTTGAGATCTCATTCTATGTTTGCTACCCAGAATTTTCAGAATGTGTCAAGAATATATATATACACATATATATATATATATTTTTAATTGCATTCTTTTGTTTTTCTTTGAGAATCTTAAAAGCATTCTAGGTGTGGTTTTCTTCTCCCCGATGGCCAAACTCACTTTGAAGTATTCTCAGGTTTAAAGATCAGATTAAAAAAAAAAAAATCAGTGTTTTGATTGCCTAGATATTTGGTCTTATTTACATTCAGGTTAAAAGAAAAGAGAGGACAAAGGGGAAAAGATTATGTTTAATAAATATGTGGCTTTGTTTTGTCCTTACTAATAGAAATTTAATGGGTCCTGATTTTGTGGGTTGGGGGTAGGTCTTGAGGTAGTGTATCGTGTGGCTCAGGCTAGCCCTGAATTTTCTGTGTAGCTGGAGATTATTGCCTTCCTCTACCTCCTAGTGCTGAGATTACAGGCATGTGCCACCATGCCCAGTTTAAGATTTTTACCTTTAAAAAAAGACAAAACAAGTACACAGAAGTTTAATTCTAAGTTCCACACGTGTAATGTACTGTGCTTCTATTCACTGTTCCATTACCTTCTTGCCCCCACCATTCCTCCACTGTCTTCCTGCTGTAATCCTTTTATACCTTCACCTTGTGATAGCTATTTATCTAAAAATAGATGTGTGTATGTAGACACACTTTGTGGCTGTGATAAAGGTCATCAGTTCAGCTCCAGCTTGGTTCCTTCAAATCATATGTCCTGAGTGTATAGTGGCTTCAGCAGCAGGAACTTGGAAATAGTCCTGACAGGAACTTAAGCAGGAGCAGAGACTGAACTCTGCTCACTGGCTTCTCCCAGACTCATACTCAGCTAGCTTTCTTACACAGCCCAGGCACATCAGCCTAGGGATGGGACTGCCCACAGTTAGCCGTTAAGAAAATCCTTCACATGCCACAGGCCAATTTGATGAACACAGTTCCTTAATTGAGGTTCCCTCTTCCTAGGTGACCCCAGGTTTCTCAAGTTGACAGCTGAAGCTAACTGTGATCATGTATTTTGCATATTTGACTCTTCGCTAAAGTCAATGTGGCTAGCCACTAGATTTTTTGATGCATCTTAGCATTTTAAAACTCTATAACCTTTGATAATACATAACCTTTGAAAAATGAAGTCATCACTACAATTCTGTTTTGATGCTGTTTGTAATGGGGTTTCATCATATAGCATCATATAGTGCTCAAGAGCATGGGCACTGGAAGCCGCCGTGGCTAGTGTTTGAGTCCTGGCTTTGCTGCTTACTAGCTTTGTGAAATAATCTGTGTGCCTTAGGCTCATGTCTACCTCAAAGTGTGGCTTCACAGATTAAAGCTTTATAAAGTGGTTTTATCACAGAATAAATGCCATATATAAATGTTTCCTATTATTCTGTATTCAAAACATAAGCTGTAAAAACTGATCATGTAGATTGATCTTAGCTATCTAATTCCTTCAGCCAGTGTTTGTACCAGACTTAAGACCTAAAACATGAACATTACAGTTATAAAATATTAGAGATACATTCAGAACAATGTTTGTGGGCATGTTTTGAATGCTTACTTTGGATCAGCCCAAATCTTGGGCTGAGATTATGGCTCAGTTAAAAAACAAAACAAAAATAAAGTTTTGGGTATTAGTGAATATATTCAAATGCATAGAGTAATATATACATATGTTCTAAGTCATATACCCGCTAGGTTGGGTATAGTCATTCCTGATCTGATTGTCAGGTAGCACAGTGATGATCTGTGACATTCAGTTTAATGTGCACACTATGAGACTCCATTTACACTTACTTTACGTGGTGTGTCTATATATATCTTTTTCCTTGACTTGTAAAATGTCAGCATAGTAAAGTGCTTATGAAGATGTTTATAAAGATTTATTAAATTCATATACATCAATACAAAAGCATTGTACTTTAAGGCAATTTCACAATTCACAGAGCATATATATGTTAGCCATTCTAAGTATTTTCCTTTACATTGTAATTGTTGTAGTTTCAGTTGTATCATTGTATTGGTGACCTTTGTATTTACTAAAACAATTCTTGCTAAGTTGCCCAGGCTTGACCTCCAACTTAAGTCACTCCTGTCTCAGCCTCCAGAACAGTTAGAACACAGCCTTGCCTAGCCCACTGGTGATTTGTAAGATTTTTATTTTATGCGTGTTTTTGCCTGCCTGTATGTACACACATATGTACACACACCACAGGTGTGCCTGGATCCTCCAGAATAGAGTTACAGACAATTTTGAGCCACCATGTAGGTGTTGGAAATCAAACCTGGATCCTCTACAAAATAGCAAGTGTTTTCCTGAGCATCTCTCCAGCCCTGCCCCCAGGCCATTATATGATATAATAGTTTTTTGGTCTTGTTCTTCCTCCATGCTATCAGTTTACTTTAATAGGGCCGCCTTTTCTTCTAGACTGCTTGTCAGTGTATCTTGGTGGAATGGTCTGCATATACTTGAAGAGATGTATTCTGCTGTGAAGTAAAAGTTTATCAGATCTAGTTATCTGGTGGTGGTCAGTTTTTGTATTTTGTATACTGTTTTTTTGTATATATACCATTTCCTCTAAGAGAAGCATGTTAAAACATTTGTATTTCTGTATTATCTGGTCTTTTCTGGAGAGCAGTACTGGTGATTGAACCTAGGACTTCATACATGCTAGACAAGAGCTCTACCATTCCATTGTCTTGGTGAGTTAGACATTTTGTCTAGGATAGTATCTGCTCTTACTATAGTCTCTCTGGCTTTTTTGAACATTTTTATATTTTATATTGTCCTTTTACTTTTAACTTTACATCACTTCGATTGCACTTTCTGTAAACAGCATAGTTGACTTATGTTTTTCCCTGAGTTTGTGTTTTTTATGAATCTCTTTACATCATTTGCATTTATTATTATGAGGATTAGTGTGTTTAGATTTAGTTCTACAATCTCACGCAACACTGGTTTTAACCCTGTCATTTGAGCATACTTTAGTATTCCATTTTGATCCATTATTATACCAAGGTATCACTTTGTTTAGGTTTTTTTAGTGGTTGCGCTAACAGGTGTATCTAACCTGCAGGCTATATACATCCACAGCTATGAGTGTTGCCCAGAAATTTGTGTATGACATTGTGTTGCAGCATCAAAAGATTGGACATCCTTGCTAGAATTAGTTTTAATTCTTAAATATCTAAGAGTGAGCATTTTCTTTTTTCAACAACTATACTCTCACCTGTTGCCAGTTTTCCATATAAATACCGTAAATGCTCTGGTTTAGGAAGCTCAGCCTCTGGAGTTGAGGGGATTTCAAAATCGGAGGAGCTCTGTGAATCCGCATGTGTGCTGGTTAGTAATGTTTTCTCCTCAGGTGGGGATTTCTTGCCACTCACAGTATCTGGTTCTCCAATGTGAGGACCTCCATTTACTTCTTCATCTCTGCTTTTCGAATCACAGTAAGAATCCTGTGGACCATGTGCATTCTGTTCCATTTGAGAGGCGGAGATATTCTCTCTGCTTTTTGGTGTGTAGGCATCTCTGTTCAAAGATGTGCTATCCCCAGCACTTCTCTCTTGGGAAGATAACAAAACAGTATCACCCTGGCTGTCCCAGCCTTGACTTCCTTGATCTGTTATGTGTGTTGACTGAGATGAATTCTGGGAAGAGATGTGAGTGGATTCTCCATCAGAGTCAGTGAGAAGCCTTGGTGACTGAGATTCCCCCGTCTCTATAGAGGAAGGTAAATTTTCCAAACATTCATCTGTGACATCATCTTTTCTTTTGAAGAACACTTCCCACTGTGGTGTGTCTGCATCAGCATTTTGCTGGGGAACTATCACAGGACCCAGACCTCCCTGCAGTGAAGGTGGGGTTTCTAACTCTTCTTCAGTGTCACTGTTAGATTCTTCACAGTCTATAAAGTTGGCCAGAGAAACCTTCTGCATAATATCTGCTTTGTAGCACCCAGGACTTTGTCTCAGTTCAGGCTGGTCTTGTGGCAATGCCTTCATTGAAAATACCTCAGGATGAAGAGTTAGCTGGTACGGAACTTTGTGCCTTAATGGTACTGGTAGAGGGTCATCAAAGAGATCATCTTCCTCCTCTGAAACAAACAAAACAGGCATGTAGGGAACACGGAAATGAGACTTCACTTCAGTGAGAGTTGGAGCTGTACCATTTACCTGTTTCAAATCTTGGAATGGTAAAAACATAGGTGCCAATCTACAAAGAGATAATAAAAGGCTGCCATCTGTTGAGAATATAGATCAGTATTTCTCACACTTGAGGGACCACTTGACTCACAGGGTGACCTTTTTTTCTTAAAGGATTTTGTTTTCAGTTATATGTATGTGTATCTGTTTATGCGTATGTGCCCATGAATGACGTGCCTGAGAACGTCAGCAGTGTTAGATCCCTGAAGCTGGAGTTAGAGGCAGTTGTGAGCTAACTAACGTGGATGCTGATTTAATACTCCTGTGTGGACAATCCATGGAACATTTTAAGAACTAAGGGTTACAAAGGGCTGGTCAGCAAACTTACAGAAAATGATCTATAAGCCCAAAAATCAATTCTGTGCCTTCTGCCCTTGAGCTGTCTTTGTCTGTGAGCCACCTTTCCTGATAAATGTAGCTCCCACCCCTGAGCAGATAAGCCTCTCTTTACAGCAAATGGAGGCCATCACAGAAAACCACAGCAGGACGCAATGCAGAGATCAACGGATCATGAAGATCACATCTCCAACAGATAATCTACATCATAGCTCCCGCATCTATGGCTGAGGGAATATTGTGGAAGAGGCGACAGACTGGAAATGAGTCAAAATACCAAAAAGTCTCCTTTGAAAGTCGAATAATGACAATATCAATTGACACATTAATGTGGAAGGGTGAGATTTTCCGGGTTACACCCCTAGACAAAGTAACTACAGGCGACTGACTGCTAAGAGGAGAATTAGTTTCTCCAGGGATGAGCCCCCTTATGAGTCATCCAATATAGTGTTATCAGCCCTGATACCATATATACAAACAACAAAAACTAGCACATTGTATTTCCCTGTTTGTGCATATACATATATACATGTGTGTATGAATAATAATAAAAGGTTATCAACTTGAAGAGGAATGTGGAAAGGGCTGGAGGAAGGAAAAGAAAGGAAAAGGAGGGAAAGTGATAATCATATTTTAAAGCCCACTCAATAAAACCAATGACATGCATGGACTAAAATATGCATATTGCTTATAAAATACATCATCCTTTAGTTCCAAGGCCAATGCCTTCTGACTTTGGAGGGCACCAGCTACACATGTGCACAGACACACCTGGGAGCAAAACTCATATATACATAAACAAAATCTCAAAAGTAATTTAAAATTAGATTCTAAATGAGTAGACATAAATGGAAATAAAATAAAATGGAAAACATAAAATGGAACATAAAATGGAAAACAGACCCGAGTTCAAATCCTAGCCCTATCACTTCGTGCTAGACTTTGGGGGATTTTCTAAATTGTCTAAATTCCAGTGTTCTCTTTGGCAAAGTCAAACTGACATCACTTGGAAGTTTATTTACATGTCTAGCTGTAGCGTGTAGATGAAGACTTGCCCTACAGAAGTGTTCAATACACAGCATCCTTCTGAGAACTCACTTCTGGCACTCTACCAAAGGGTGGCAATCTGAAGTCGTAACCACCAAGTGTGGCTGCTATAAGCCAACAAGGCTTTGCTCAGAATCTGAAGTTCTCATTTCTAGTTAGAACTTACCTCCATTCTTAATTACAAAACGAACTAGCAGCGTAAGAAGGCAGAATGAATGGAGAAGAACTGTGTAACCCTGCTCGGTCTGATCAGAGCCAAAGGAAGCTAAGTCTCTTCAGCATCCTAGCAAAAATGCTAGGGTGACAACACAGTCCTCCTGTCACAGGGTGCATTTTGGGAAGACCAGAACCATTCTTACCTGAGTCTACATAGATTATTCTGGTTCTCTTCAGTTTTCCAAGTGGTTTGTACTTTGGTTCGGTACTTCGGGAAGATCGGCACAGAGGCTTTAAACTGACATAAATCAGAATATTTGACTTTTCTTTTTGGGAAAGTTGCTGAAGCATAAACATCACTTATAGAGATTAGAACAAAGCCATAGGGTGATCATGTCAACATTTGTGGGAGATAAAGGCAATGTTTAATAAAGATCCTACAACTTAATAAAATGGCCAATGGAAGCACTTACAGACAACGTTAGTAGATACCAATCATGTACAGAGGGAACCGTCTTAGCAGATTAAAGCCAAACTTGAATATTTGCTCTTAAAGTGCAGGAAAGAGCTCTATCCCAAGACAGGATTAAGTCACCCATTGACACTTAGCATCCAGAGAGCTTAGGAGAGATGCTTCTTCTCTGTTTAATGGCATTTACTTACCCTTGCAAGGATCCCACAAAGTTGATCTGATTCCAGAGCCACAGGCTGAAAGCCAGGACACAGAAATAAGATCTGCAGGGGGTCCACCCTCACTGAGGGCTACACTACCTACTTTTCTTCTGCCAGCTTGCTAGAAGCCTTGAGGATCAGAGCCAACACCACAGATGGTGGCAGCCATGAAGCTCCCAACCTGACTACAGCGACTTCTATTTGTCATCTATGTTCTCATGTCTGTGATATTCCCTGGCTCAGTCCCACGTGGCAACTCCAGAATCTGCTGTTACTGCCTCTCTCTATAGCTACTTCATGCATTCTCTTTGGGTAACTTTTACCAAGTGAAGGTCACTCTCCACCCACCTACCTACAACAGATTGCCCAATAGAAATGCAAGCTAGGGGGGCTGGAGAGATGACTCAGTGGTTAAGAGCATTGCCTGCTCTTCCAAAGGTCCTGAGTTCAATTCCTGGCAACCACTTGGTGGCTCACAACCATCTGTAATGAGGTCTGGTGCCCTCTTCTGGCCTGCAGACACACACAGACAGAATATTGTATACATAATAAATAAATAAATATTAAAAAAAATGCAAGCTAGAAGCACAAGATAGGATAACAAGCACTACAAATGATTCTAAGTATATTCCCATTTAAATCTACAAAACAATCTTAAATCTCAGCGATCAGGATTAAATTCTTAACTCTTGCCTTGCTAGCCAGCATGTTGCTTTCATCACACTATCATGCTTTCTGGCTTCTAACTCACGAGTCTACTAAAAATGGTGTGAGCTGGCACAAATAACCTTATTACCAAGATAATCTAGTCCCTGCACTAGGTCACTTTAAAAAGATTTTGTTTTTATTTCTGTATTCATGTGTCCATCACGTTTGAGGTGGATATGTTCCATGGAGGCCAGAAAGGGCATTGGGTCTTCTGGAATTAGAGTTAGTTGTGCACCTTTGGATGTGGGTGCTGGGAACCACACTCAGGTCCTCTGGAGAGCTCTTAACCACTGAGTCATCTAGCTTACCAGTTCACATCTTAAGAATTGGCCACTTAGGGGGCTGGCAAGATGGCTCAGAGGTTAAGAGCACTGGCTGCTCTTCCAGAGGTCCTGAGTTCAATTCCCAGCAACCACATGGTGGCTCATAACCATCTGTAATGAGATCTGGTGCCCTCTTCTGGCCCACAGGGATACCTGCAGACAGAATATTGTATATGTAATAAAAATAAATCTTTAAAAAAACAAACAAACAAAAAGAATTGGCCACTTAGAGAGCATAGAGGGAGAGAGGGGAGGAAGAGAAGAGAGTGAAGAAAAATGTATAGCTTAATAAAAACAATAAAAAGAGAATTGGCCACTCATAAGTAGATATTGTATGTAAAGCAAAGGAAAACCAGACTATAATCCACAACTCCACAGAAGCTAGGTAACAAGGAAGACCCTAAGAGGGATGCATGGATCGCCCAGGGAAGGGGAATTAGATGAGATCTCCTGGGTAAACTGGAGGCACGGAGGGACGGTAAAGGGGAGGGGATGGGAGATGAGAACATGAAGGAATGATGGTCAAAGTGGGTAGGGATGGAGTGGGAGAGCAGTGAAAGATCCTGGTAGAGGGAACCACTATGGGGTTAGAGAGAAACTGGTGCTAGAGAATTTCCCAAGAATCCACAAGGATGACTACAGCTAAGATTCCTGGCAACAGTGGAGAGGGAGCCCAAACTGGCCTCCCCTGTAATCAGATTGGTAAATACCCCAACTGTCATCATAGAGTCTTCATCCAGCAACTGATGGAATCAGATGCAGAGCTCCACAACCAAGCACCAGGAATCCAATTGAGGAGAAGGAAGAGAATATATGAGAGAGGGAGGTCAAGATCATGATGGAAACATCTACAGAGGCAGCTGAACCAAGTTTGTGGAAATTCAGGAACTCTAGGCCAACAGCTGTGGAGCCTCCATGGGACTGAACTAGGCCCTCCATATGTGAAAGACAGTGGTGAAGCTTGGACAATCTGTAGGGCACCTGGCAGTAGGACCAGGATCTATCCCTGGTGTATGAGTTAGCCTATTAGAGCCCATTCCCTATGGTGGGATGCCCCAACTTAATGTGCCAGACTTTTTGTTGACTTCCCATGGGAGGAGGGGTGGAGGGGGAGAACTGTGGATGGAATGTAAAATGAAATTAAATAATCAAAGAATCATTGCTCTGGAGTGAAGATGTTACAGTAGGAAAATTAATACAAATGAAAATGTTTAAGTACATGTCGGCTTCTAATAAAGCATATAACTTGTGATCATAAACAAAATTGGCCACTAGTAACTTCCACTTCCCCTCTTCCCGCCGTTAGAACATGTATCTTTCTCATTTGCACGACTGAGTTCTGGCCTCAGCCTAGCTCTTATTCCTCATGCTTCCCTGGTGATTTTTGTCCTTGACAGCCTCCCACCTGTCTGGTCCCAAGAAATCTCTTTTCCCAAAATCTGGCATTTGGACAAAAACCAGCATCCTCTGTGGGTGGGGGAGACTTGAGAAAGTAGCTTGTACCTGCTAAAAGGAAGCTTTGTCCTTATCTCTGGCACAAGGGACTGGCTGGCTCTTCCATTAACATAGACCTATGGTGTCTATTAGCATATCACGCTCCTAGACACTTCAATCCCTACACTTCAAAGACCTCCACCTCAGTTTATATTCCCCTCCTGCCAGGTACCTGTTCCTTTAAAAACCCTGGGCTGGGGTGGCTCACCATCTGTACCTCTCCATAGTCTGGAGCCTGTTTCCCACCTGTCTCTCGAAACAGCTCAGTGCTCTACGTCCTCATCAGTCTCAAGCCCAGCACTCCCATGCCTCCCAGCCAGAGCCACCAATAGCACACAAGTCCCACAAACAGAAACTACTCACACGTCCATGACCTTATCCACGGTGAGGCCTACTGGAATGACATTTGGATATGCATTCACTGGACAGATGTAGCTCAAAAAATCTTTAATCTAGAAGGAATATAAAATGAATCAGCTATCTCTGATGGGAAATTGAGGTGCCAGTCTATTCCCAGTTCCTAGTATACAGAACCAGTTGAGAGGCCTCTCCACGGGAATAAATGAAGAGGGGACATACAGACACAATGGAGTTTTGTCCAGCCATAAGGAACAAACTATGTCATTTGTAGGAAAATGGATAAAAACTAGAGATCATTGTGTTAGGCAAAATAAGCCAACTCAGGCAAATAGCACATTTTGTATCATGTAGATACACACATACATGGTACATGGACAGATCCATGACAGGAAAGTGGGAGAGTAACTGTGGGGCGGGGACTATCAGGAGAGAAAGAGATAGTCTAGTCTGTTTTCTCTCATCTGTGGGAATTAGGTCTAACAATACATAATGGAAACAGATGGGGTACTGTTTCAGGAGAGGAAGGAGACCAGTGAGGAGGGAGAGGAGGGACAGGGAGGGTAATGGTGGGCAAAAATGAACAAAGTATGAAGATATATTTGTATGATAATGTTATGATAAAATTCATTATTTTGTATGCTAACTAAAATATTAATTAAAAAAGAAAACTGAGGGTGTCAGAAAAGAGAGGTATAAGAAAGGGCAGCAGAGCTTCCTTGTGACCCTGCTTCAGTGCTGGCTGCATGTGGGGACCTCTGAGGGACAATCACACTGGCAATGCCTTGGCCTCATTCCCCTAAACGCTCCCTGTGCTTTGCTACGTGGGATCTGGGGACTTACACATTTGAACTTTGTTCAGGTTTCTGCTCCACAGAAAGAGCTTGAGTTCCTAATTAATGGAATCAAGGCCAGTTGTCTACACATTTGGCAAACCCTCTTCCATGTGAGTTAGAATACAGCTGAATATTGACCATAATAGATACAAGAAAAGAAGGTCTTGTAACTGTACCTTTTTCCATGTATAAATAGTCATTACCAGGACAACTGCGTCTTGGAGATTACTTGATTTGCTCTAATGCCTATTCTTATGGAATCAAATACCATGCAGTAGTTACCACCTTGGGAAGACACCAAACTCTTCTGCCCATTACATCTTAGTTTGCAGTTACTGGTAAGCAATGCAGTCAAGCCTGAATGCAAGAGCACTTAAGGAGTCCAGAGTAAGATTGGGTCCAGTAGTGATCTCTGGTGGCCCAAGGCCTGCAGGTCTCTCCTAGCAGCCAACTTAGGACAACCTGCCTCTATGCACATTTCTCTAGTGCCAGAGAAAGGACCCCTTACTGATGTGGAATACTCCTCTGTATGTTGTGAAGATGTTTTATTACCATTGGTTAATAAAGAAGCTGCTTTGGTCTATGGCAGGGCAGAATAGAGCTAAGCGGGAAATCCAAGCAGAGATGGGGGGGGGGAAGAAGGCAACGTCTGGGAGATGCCAGCAGCTACAGGTAAGCAAGCTGTGAGATGACAAGCCACAAGCTTTGTGGTAAAATGTAAACTAATAGAAATGGGTTATTTTAAGTTTTAAGAGCTAATTAATAATAAGCCTGAGCTAACAAGCCAAGCAGTATGTAACTAATATTAAGTCTCTGAGTGATTATTGTAAAAGTGGCTGCGGGACCAGGTGGGACAAGAAACCTCCAGTTATACCTTACCATAAAGTCTGAAACTCTGGATGTTAAGGTGTCTGAAAGCTGTTCACACAGGTGGATGTGGACAGGGAGCGCACACAAGACTGAAGCAGAAGGCTTCCTGAGCAAAGCTGCTAGCCAGTGCAGGCTGCGTGTACTCTGACTGAGACATACAGCTGGGAGGAAGTATTCCAGGCCCTTTGTATGTGTATGACTCAAAAGACTGCACATACAAAGTCCTTTCATACCAATTCTAAACAATTATAGTTTAAAACATTCACAAGTATGTTGATTTTTTTTTTTTTGCCATCTTCAGAATACAAAACAGAAGAATTCTGTCACTATTCCCCTTAAGAGTTCTACCAGGCAAACCTCACTTATTAGATATTGGTGAGCTGTGATCTCAGTAAGTCTAAGGCTCAGATTCTTCATCTACCATATAAAGAAGATAACACCTGTAAAATGCTGGCTCCAGCGCCCACTGGGCAGTACCTGTACCCGGTGAAACATCCACTGCCGTTATGCAGGACAGAGTTGGTAATGACGATACAAAGACTTGGATCCCCTCTTTCCAAAACCGATGACCAGGGCACAAAGCAACAAGCATCTAACTCTAACTCAAAGGACCAAATGAGGACACAGAGCCTCAGGGATTTCCAGTAACTATGAAAATGGCTACTCTAACCTAAAGAACACCTATTCTTTAGGCACTTTGCACAAACAACTTTTTTATACCTTTAGGGAGGCATGCACACAAAACCATTACTTGCCCCTAAAGTGCCCACCTTGCATGTATGAGGATCTGAGTTTGAAGCTCAGAACCATGTAACAGTGCTGGGTATAGTGGCGCACACTGGTAATCCCAGTGCCAGGAAAGCACAGGAGGATCCCTGCCAACAACCAGCCAGCCCAGCCTAATTGCTGAACTCCATGCCAAGAGAGACCCTGGTGCGGAAGAGTATGATGGCCTTCCTGAGGACGACACCTGAAGCTGTCTTCTGGCCTCCACCCATACACACATCCACACTCACCCCTCCCCCCACATACGCACATATATGTACACCCCACAGACATGTACCCCGCCCCGTGGTGACCAACCCCAAAGGCTGCAGTTAGCAGTAGGAGCTGATGGATCCTCTTACCTCACTGTAGGAGGAGTGAAAAGAAAAGCATGCTCTGTATGAGCTCTCTCCTGTCCTGGGGAGCAGAACACAAAAGGACACTTAGCAAAACTAAGTGGTGCTATAGGGTTCAACTCCACTTAGGCTGTTTGGGTGTGAAGCCACGTGAATGTGAGAAACTACTTCTTGGGACAGGAGACAACTTCTTTAGACACGGAAACTTTCTGTAGACATTCTAAATAGCCCAAATCTAGGAGGTGTTACTAAGGTACTGGGGCCATTGTGGAGGTGCCTCTCCTATACTGGTGCTTCTATTCTTTCCAATACCAGTCTGTGATACACAGCACTCAGTTGCCTTCAGAGTTCAGCCATCTTGTCTCTCACAGAGGAAGTCCCTGGATGTATCAGCAAATGTACTGCCATAGTTTGAAAGAAACATCCCTTCGTTTTAAATAATGTTTAAATGAAAAACATAGTTCCTACAATTGTAACATCCTCTCCCTGGGCTCATGTTGATCTGAGTTTAAACTACATTAAACACAACACTTCCCCTCTGGGTTTCTGAAGACCAGGCCATGTGTCCCTTACCTCACTATCACATTGGTTTTTCTGGTTCTCTCTCCGAACCACATGGTGGATGGTTTGATGCTAATTGTATGGAGCACAGTTTTGTTTTTGGAAGTAATCCCACAGGGTAATTTATTCCATTGAAAATACTCTTCTGCCTGAAAACAAAACAAAACAAAAACACTTTTGTTTTAAATTCCAGCTACATATTTTCAACAAAGCTATTGTAGACTGGTATTCAAAAGCAATTGCAGGTGAGTTTTTGGATATGAAAAAACTGAAGATGCAAGGAAGGAAGCAGGTTATTCCAAACTGAGAAATCTTCTCCAGACACCTGGCCTGGGTGCTCTAATAATGCTGGAAAGTAGGTTTGTATCGAGAGAACTCCCTGGCTGAGTGAGGGGCCACAGGGCTGGAAGAGCATGAGTTTGAGCCCGGCCTACACTCCAGCGGCCTAGCCCTACCTACAGTGAAGACTCTCAGGAAAATAAAAAGCAAGATACTCTTTGGGCTGAGAAGGTGGCATATGATGACTTGGGAAACAAGAGGAAGATGGAAAGTTTGAGCCTAGTCCATGCTACAACAGCCCGAATCAGTGCACAACGTGAGACCTCCCAGTTTATGATCTACATTCTTTTAGCCATCCAAGAGTCTACTGGGTGGGTAGCTGTATATGATTAAATAAATGACGAGAGTTAGAGTACGTAGCCTACCTATCGCCAGTTATAGTTGTGAGTTAGACTGTGTAGCTACCTATCGCCAGGAATAGTTTCTAACATGCAGCTCTCTTACTGAAAAAAATTCTTTTTATTTGTCTGTATGTATGTGTGCGCATGTGTATACATATATGTGGGGGGGATGCCGAAGGAAGCCAAAAGAGGGCATTAGATCCCTGGAGTTGGAATTACAGGCAGTTGTGAGCTGGGAACCAGACTCAGGTCCTCTGAAAGAGCAGTAAGAGCTCTTAGGCACGGAGTTAATGTGCAGTTCTCTTGCAAAGGCTTCTATTAGAACATTACCTGTTGTTGATGAGAAAATGCGTCTTCATGCATTGTTCTTAAGAGTTTGGGCACATGGAGCAATGCTACTATGTTCTGCAACAGTGTTCTACATATACATGCATGTTGCTGAGGGTTCTGTGCTCAGACAGCTCAAATTTTAGGGGAAAATTGTGACCAGGCACATAATTGTATTTGACAGTAACTAATTCAATTGTCTTTTCTTTCTTTTTTTTTTTTCTTGGTCTTTTTTTTTTAAGACAGAGTTTCTCAGTAGCTATGGAGTCAGTACTGGAACTCACTCTGTAAACCAGTCTGGCCTCAAACTCATAGAGATCTGCCTGCCTCTGCCTCCCGAGTGCTGAGATTAAAGGCATGTGCCACCACCACCTGGCTCAGTTGTCTTAATTAAATGTCAAAGACAGTAGCTGGAGCCAGGCAGTGGTGGTGCTTCCTTTAATCCCAGCACTCGGAGGCAGAAGCAGATGGATCTCTCTGAGTTCAAGATCAGCCTGATCTATAAGAGTTAGTTCCAGGACAGCTAGGGCTGTTACACAGAGAAACCCTGTCTCAAAAAGCCAGAGAGAGAGAGAGAGAGAGAATGGAAATCAGGGGGAGGAGAGGAACAGAGAATAGGAAGAGCAAATGTAATTAAAAATATATTATATAGGGTTGGAGAGATGGCTCTGAGGTTAAGAGCACTGGCTTTTCTTCCAGTAGTCCTGAGTTCAATTCCCAGCAACCACATGGTGGCTCACGACCATCTATAATGAGATCAGGTGCCCTCTTCTGGCATCCAAGCATACATGCAGACAGACCACTATGTATATAATAAATAGATAAATAAAGATTTATTTTTTTTTAAAAAATATATTTTGTAGATATAGGAAAGTGTAGGGAAAAACATGTATTATCAAAGGAAAACAAATGTCAAAGGCAAACTCAAAATGGAAGCCTGGCACTGGTAACTCAAGGGTTCATAGTAGAATTACAAAGAAAAATTGACAGTGAGCAGCAAAGACACCTGAGGTGCTTCCTTGGGCTTACACCACTATGGTATCGCCTTCAGAGTTGGAAGGAGGTTATACCTAGATATTTAAGTGAGGAGAAGAAAATTATAGTTTTTTTTTAAAGATTTATTTAATTATGTATTCAGCATTCTATTTGCACGTGTCCCTGCAGGCCAGAAGAGGGCGCCAGATCTCATTACAGATGGCTGTGAGCCATCATGTGGTTGCTGGGACTTGAACTCAGAGCCTCTGGAAGAACAGTCAGAGCTCTTAACCTCTGAGCCAACTCTCCAGCCTGAAAATTATAGTTTTCAAGCATACACCTGATTTAAGTCTCAGAAACAAGTAGCAATACACTGTGAACATGTTTACTTAAATTATAGGCTCGACATAGTATCACCCTGGCCCCATTTAAGTATCTCTCTATCCACAGACCAGTACAGCTCCCAGACCTCATCAGAGAAGTTTCTTTGTGCAGTGGACGGTGGCAGACACAAAAACTCACAGCTGGCCGAAATGTAGGGAGTAAGTGCGTGGGTGGTGTCCAGCCACAAGACGTCTCTAACACATCACCGCCCCTGAAGCTCAGGGGCCATCGTGGAAGTGGGCACAGAAAGACAGTAAGAGCCAGAGGTTCTGGGGACAGGAGCCAAGCTGTCTTCTAGCCAGGACAGAACCGCTGCACACATGAACCCAGTCGGCATCAGACCCTACTCCTGAGGAGCTATGGACAGCTGATGCCTTCTGGAAGACGGGGAGTCAGTTTTCTTTAAGGGTGTGGCTTCTGGCAGGTCAGTTGTATCTAGTGGATGGCCAGGAAAATATGGGTAGCACAAACTGAACTCTATGGGTTATTAAAACTGACAAAAATAACAGGGCACAAGCAGGTGGATGAACAGGGAGAGTGGGTGGATCTGGGAAGAGTAGAGGGGACAAATATGACCAAAATGGATTGCATACATTTTTCAAAGAATTAATATTTGCTTAAATTACAACTAGCACAGATTAATAACTTCATTACAAATAAACTCCCATCTTCATATAGAAGAAGCTATTTTCTGTAACAAATTTAAGAATCTGTGTGTGTTCCTCATTATGAGGTACGTGTTCATGGAACATAGGTATGTATAACTTCACGACCTCCAGCTAACAGCTTAGGATCATGAAGAGTTCCAAAAGGGAACTGAGCTGCCTTCTTGATCTTAATCTCTCAGGTCCCACAAAGAACAGGACAGATGTTTCTCAGTACCTTTGGGTGGCGGCAGGCATGGATTTGGGTGTTTCGGTCCGTGGTAAGATGGTGGAGGATATCAGGCATGTTTCTAAACATATCCATCTTGTCCACATGAACCTGTGTATAAGAGCAGATAGAAGCACATCGTTTGAAATGCAGTCCTAAGAAGACACACATTCCAGGAGACACTGTCCAGTTAGTGGATGAGTCTTCTCTCTTGCGGTCTCGTTCTGGGCTATGGTGTCACGAGGCAAAGGACCCATCCCACAGATGGCAGCTGATGTATTAATACTGTCCTTCAAGAATCATTTGGTTCATATTGATTACGCAACCCCTGGATGTCAAACAATTCTAAACTCTAGCACTACAGCAGAGGCCAAAGCCGACAAAGACAAAAGAAGCTCCTACTGGGCTGGTGAGATGGCTCAGTAGGTACAAGTGTGTGCTGAAGAAGCTGTGGACCTGAATCAAATCTCCAGAACACTTAAAGGAGGGAGAGAAGCAACTATAACATGTCCTCTGTGGCATGCATGTTACCATTCTAATGGCATACTACATGCCACACAGGACAGCTGGTGTTATTAAAAAAAAAAAAGTAGGACCCAGATTGTCCTGCCACATAGAAGTTCACACAGCAAAGAGGAGAGAAAGATCCAGAAAAACAAATACTCAAATGTGGCTGACCTGGAGAAATTTAAGGCTATGAACAGTTTAAAGTGTTAAAACTAATTATGTCAGTTTTACTCCAAGCTTGTCTTCTGGGTCTTTCAAAGCAGATGATATTAGTGCTTAAGCCGATATTAGGATCATGAAACAAAATTAAAATTGTGACACTCTCATGTTGGTGTGAGACTAACAAACACAGAAATAATGTCCAGTTACTGTGCTGGCTGCTGCTAAGGCAGGGTGCAGAAAGAACTTAGGCACAACTGCTTACCCGAGAGGCCTGTTCGACTTAGAGCTGATTTACTTATGACCCCCAGAAGAAAAGATAAGAGACTGGGGAGAGGGAGCAGTCAGGAAACATTGCTTTGCAGGCATAAGGAACTAAGTTTGATCCCCAGAACCATGCAAAAGTCTGGCTGTGGCCTGAGCTTGTGACCCCACGTGGGAGGTGGGACAGGAGGGTCCCTGGGGCACACCTGCTAGCCAGCCCACCTGCTGAGTTCAGGTCTTTAAACAAAGAATCTTTTGGCCTTTAACACTTGCACTCAAATGCAGAGGTGCTTGTATAGACCCATGCACTGCACAGACACAGACACAGAGAAAGCAGAAGTCAGGTACGGTGATGCTTCTATTATCGCAGCACTCTGAAGACTGAGGCAGGAGGATCATGAGTTTGAAGTCAGTCTGGCTTCAGAGTGAGTTTCAGACAGACCTGGGCAATGCACACCTTTCTCCCAGAAAAGATAAAAGAAAATAAGGAAGAAAGGAAAGAGTGAACATGCCGTTCCCAGCTCTCTAAGGAGGATGGGGAGGGCTAAAGGGAACTGTAGAAGACAGCGGTGACTGGGAAGGCAGCCGCAGATGGTCCCTGAGGCTGGAAACCTCACCACTTTTTCTTTGTAAACTCCTGATCTAGAATTATCCCCATCTCTGCCAAAGGGATGTAAGGAAACTCTGGGGCCACCATCAAAAGGCTCTTCCTGAAGCCTCCCTGCTCCCCACTTCTCCATCTAGGGTTCAAAGCTGTGGCTTCCACTCTTCATATACCCCTGAAGTTACACCCCAAATAACTGCAACCACCACATGTCAGAGAGACAGTGTATGAAGAAATTAAAAGCCAGGTAATGCAAATGAGTGTGTGTGCTATGCACATGAATATTATCACTACTGTGATTTTAATTTAAAAGTCCATTTTAATATCAAACACATAGGCAAAGTGACCCCAGATAAAACCAAATCTTTCTCAAAATGGATAATTAATGTCTTTACATCAAAATATTTGGCTAGAAGGACTTCCAGAAATAGACCTGGGAACAGGAAAGGAGGGACAGGCATTTACAGAGAGTGAAGGTTAGAATTTCATAATTTCAAACAGAAAAACTAGATTCCCCCCAACCCCAGTGCTGGGGATAGAACCCAGGGCCTTGTGCATGCCAGGTGAGAGCTCTGCCACGGAGTCACATCCCCAGCAAAGCTAGATCACTTTAACAGTGCTAAAGTACACTGTGGGTCACTGTTAGGGCCTGGGCACAGAATTGTCATTGGGTAGATCTACATTTAATAGCCCACAACTACAAATGTCCACCTGGTCCCAATGTTTCATTTTGTTCAGTGATTATTGAAAATCCATCTTCGCTCAGGCACAAAAGTTCCAGATACTTTTCAGTGCCCTGGAGGAGGAGGCGCATGCTCAACAGCCACCACACACACCCAGGCTCTTCTGCCCTGGGTCTGAGCGGCCAGCATCAAACACCTGGGAAACAGTGGTCGAAAATGGACAAGTGGAAACTCCCCCACTGACTAGCTCCAGGTCAATGTTCTTCATGTGTTGTTGGCCATGAGTCAAAGCAGGAAATATGGTTTCCATAGCAACCTGATCAGCACACAATCAAGGAGAAATCCATATTCATGTGTATATGTGTGTTTCCAACCAGTTAAGTAAATGTTCACTGTCAATACCCAAACTGCAAGCAATATAGCCAGATATTACTGGATATCACTGGGTTCAAATTTACTTTTGATAGTGGTCACAATTGCTATATTTATTTTATAACCCACACTTTGGGAAAAAATACTTTGTCTCTGGGGCATCTTTTTGAGCTATGACTGCACTTCTGCGAGAATATCTACCTATAAAGATGAGGTGACTTCTGAGAGGCCCAGCCCTCCCACCCCCACACCCCTTCTTCAGTTATTTGGGGAGGAGGAGGGAAAGGAGTAGGGGAAGGAAATGCAGGGGAAGAGAATAGGGAGGGGCAAGGAAGGGGGGCTAGGAAAAGGGAGCGGTACCTGGACTCCCAGCTCCTCACTCAGGTTGGTGAACAAATACTCATAGCCGTAAGCTGCTTTACAGTTCAGCCACACAGCGTGGTGTGGACTCCTAGTGATCCAGCTCCGAACCAGCTCCAAAATTCCCCTCAAGCACTCCTCCTAGATGGCCAAAAAAAAAAAAAAACCCTGATACTTTGAAGGAACTCACTAACCTTTCTCCTCTTCAACATTCAGAGCTAATCGCTTCCCAAAAGGGATAATTGCTGTACCAGCCTACACCGGCCATTCCAACCAGACAGGCAGCCCCGTCACCCCAGGCGCCCCGTCACCCCAGGCAGCCCCATCACCCCAGGCAGCCCCGACACCCCAAGCAGCCCCGTCACCCCAGGCAGCCCAGACACCCCAGGCGCCTCATCACCCCAGGCGCCTCATCACCCCAGGCACCTCGTCACCCCAGGCAGCCCCGTCACCCCAAGCAGCCCCATCACCCCAGGCAAACATACACGACTTGGAATTTGATAAAACCTTGGGTCACAGAATGTGGTGTCTAAATATACACTTTGGATGTCTTTTACTCTGAGAAGAAGAAGAAAAAAATACTGTTAGCTATTTCATGGGACATAATTGTTTATAAAATGATGCAGAACCTGAGTTATTTTCAAGTGTGTTCTACTCCGCTTCCAAATCTATTGTCCATCAATTTCACTAGAACGATATTCATCCAATAAAATACATATTTATGAGCCAGTTGGTGTTGGCACATACTTGTGATCCTAGCACTCTGGAGGCAGAGGCAGGCGGGTCTCTGTGAATTCAAGGTTAGTCTGGTCTACAAGAGCTAGTTCAGATTTTTGGAGCAGAAAAACGACTCAGTGGGTAAAGACACCGATCACCAAGCCTGACAGCCTGAGTTCCATCCTCAGGCCCATGTGGTGAAACGGGACCGACTCCCACAAATTATCCTCTGACCCCCCCCCCCAACACACACACATTTATTCAACCTTCACAGCCAAGAATTACAGAAGGTCCTTTACCTGCCCCCAGAGTGCAGAAGCTCCATTCTGGAAGCTTCTCCTTTTGCCAGTCTGAAGTCTCCTGTGTATAAGACAGTTCCATTACTGCCCTGAAATAAAAACCTGAAAAATAAATGTATCTCAGTAACTTCCAAACCACAAAGTCCTAAGAAAGCTAAAATTGCAGCAAAGGCTTCCTGCCAAACAAATCCCTTACAAGGTAGGGTTAGAATTTTGGCAGTGCTAAATCCAGGTGACTACCACCTTTCCCCACAAAGAGCAAAAACAAATATGATAAGATACAATCAAACAGGATGTGAGCATTACTGAATCTGTACTAGGCAAGGCCTGGAATATTCTAGCACTTCCTAATATACACTCAAGTATTCCAGAGAGAGAGAAATGCCTGTGATTAGACAGCGCAAGGACACAGAGGAAATCCCAATTTAAGGCATGTACACTAAGAAAGCCACATTTCATGGGGTCTTCATCTCGGTTTCCCAAGCTCAATTTTGAAGAAAAGATTAAAGACACTGCCAGAAAAAGGAGATCTATCTCTGTACAATACTACCCTGTAGATGCTAAAAAGTTATCTCTACAAACATAATACATACTTATATAAGAAGAAATGGGAACAGAGGGGCCCCTTACATAACTGATCCGGGGCAGTGACCAGCTGGTAAGAGAGTCACAACAACCTCTTCCTTCTAAAAAAGAAAAGAAAAGAAAAGAAAACAATAGTACAACAGTCATCATGAGGCGCTGCCTGATTCATAGCGTCGCCTCTTTCAGTCTCTCACTCTTCAAACTGTGGAATAAGTGGACTTGTCCACTCCCTAACAGAGCTATGACAAGACTCGGTTCCTTTTCTAGGTACACACTCAAGAGAACGGTCATAAGAAAAAAATCTGTGCATGAACATTCATTGCATAATCACTCACACCAGCCCCAAAGTAGAAACACTTCAAAATGCCTAGCAACGGATGAATGGATAAATAGCATGAGGTTTGCCCACACCATGGGATACTATTTGGCCATAAAGATAAGATTCTATATATGCATGCCATCCACATACAGGGATGCCTATTGAAAAATGCTCAGAGAAAGAAGTCCCATGATGGATGTATAATAACTCCACAGATAGGCAAGTCCAAAAAGATAGAAAGGAGAACAACAGCCACCAGGAGCTGTGACAGGAAGGGATGGGAGTGGCCGAAACGGGCACAGGGTTTCTGAGTGGTGAAAATATTCTAAAGTTGACTCTGGCGGTGTACGGATAGTTCTGTGAATACAGTAGAGCCACCAGGTCTTCAAGGGGGTGAATGTGTGTTGATGAATACTGCACTAATGCTATTATTAAAAGGAAAAAGGAGTGGGTGCAGCCCAGTCCCAGCTCATCACACTGTACGTGGCTTTGTCCCTTTAAGACAGAGCCTGCTGGGCACCACTGACTCTCCAGCTCTCAAGAGGGGAGGGCAGAGCTCTGTGTGCAATGGGTCACCGCTCAGTAATAATTCCTCATCCTGCAGGCCCCTTTCAACGGGGGTCTCCAGGTTGGGGCTGGGGACACACTGCACAAAAGCCAGGTCACAGGACAAGGCACCTAAGTGGCACAGCACAGACAAGCGGCCCAGCAAGACCCCAACCAGAGCCTGCCTTGGTGCTCAGTGCTGGGCTTGGAGGAAGCATCTGCAGGTGACAAGGCCAATGATGGCATCCCTCCCAGGTCACACTTGCAAAAATTCAGGCTTGCTCTCCTTCCCTCCTTGTCTCTCCCTTTTAGTCTCCCATGGCACCAAAACCTGGCTCTACCAGGATGAAATTGATGAAAAATACACCTTATCTTCTAGCATCTAAATGGTCACCTCTCTTCTGGTCACCTTCTGAGTTCCACACTGCGGAGCCACATATGGTGATGTTATAACAGACTACAGAGCAAATGCTAACTTGACTGCCAGAAAACAGGAAAACACCCTTAGCCCTTGGTGTCATTTAAACTGGGTTTTGCTTTGTTTGAAGGCCTACAGTCTTATTTACTATTAAACAATTCATCCATAAAATACTAGCTGTAAATTTAAGGCTGAAAAGTAAATTTTATAACTTGGGCAGAGACTTTGTTTGTAATTAAAAAATTATTAAAAAAGAAGATAGCCATTGTACTTGAGTTTGCTTCAAAAAATATTAACAAACCATTATTTTATATCCCAGATATAAGAAACAATAAATATGATAACATTGTATACTATTAACAAATAACATTCTTGTCATAAACATGGAAAAAAAAAAGAGAGAGAGAGGGAAAAAATAAATACACCATGTTTAGTCCTTCTAATGTTTGAAATAATTCTAACAGTTTATGACTGAATGTCTCCATTCCCTGCAGCTGGGGGTTCAAACAGTGACCCCTGGGAATTTAACTAAGAAACTTTTGACAGGTGGTTAGTTCTTGAAGTTAACCCCCCCAGAGAACAGATTAGTGCCCTTAAGGGGGAACTTTTACTTCTTCCTGTGTGAGAAATAATAGCTAAGAATCCACAAAGAGAGAGTACCAGGCCATTGTGAGAGAGCCCACCCCACAGTGAGAGAAACCCAATCTTCAGTCAGAGAACCACAGCCCACAGCGAGAGAACCCCATGTCATGGGAAGAGAACCCCAGCCCATAGTGAGAAAACCCAGGCCATGGGGAGAGAACCACAATCTGCAGTTAGAGAACCCCAGGCCATGGGGAGAGAACCCCAGCAAATCGGTATCAAAACACTCACGAATGTTGTGGTTGTTTTTCTAAAAATTTACTTCATTCATAAATTATTGTTTATGAATAAATGAGCATTCTAAATTAAAGAGAAAGTTAAACAATCATTTTAGCACAAAGAAAAAATACAAAATATGCATAGTTACCTCACCTGATGCCTCGTCAACTAAAGCTATCTGGGTAGGAGTTTCAATTTCAATTGCTATCTGAAAAGAGATTAAGTGAGGATATTATAGATTCCACGTAACCATTTGTGATTTCAGTAAAATCAGTAGTTTAAGAAAATGGCATAACAAAACAAAAATACCTTTAATAGCTCAGTGTTATAGCACTTGCTTAGCATGTACAGGCCTTAGGCTCCAGGCTCAGCACACACACATACACACAGAGCACATATACTCAGTACACCCCTCCCCATCCCCACAGTAACCAGGAACAAATGTTAAAATATCCCATTTACAGATGAAAAGCATCAGCTCATGCTGCATCATGAAACTACTGGGCTGGAGACTGTTTTGAAGAGATTTTGGAGAACTTTCATTTCTTCGCTTTTCCTATCTGCATGTGCATGTATGTGGTGGGCATGCATGGGGGCGCATTAAGCACTCCACCACTGAGCTGCTACAGCTCTAGATAGATTTCCCTGTAGTGGACAAACCCGTACAGCCATTGTATCTGGCATGAACACCAGCCTTGGGATTGCTTATAGGTGACCCTGAGCCCTGAGGTTGTCCTTTGTATTCAGTCAGTGACGGTTTTCTGAGACATGGTGTTTCTGAGGGAGCTCTACAGCCCCTGCAGGACTTTGGTCACAAGACGGTCCTGACAAACCCTAAACGTGTTGTATTACTATGCACATGATAAGGACTATACAGCTGCAGGGGTGTGATAGAAATATGCTTCTCCGTGGCTGTTTGAGGTTCAGTTCATCGAGGCTGAGCCTCCCTGCCGCCTCAGGGCCCCATTACATCCTGGAGTGACCCTCTTCCTTTGATCATCCCTGGTCACCAGAACAGTGACACCTCACTGGTGCATATATGTTCCTGTGAACATGCATGTGCGTATGGAAGCAGAGGCTGACGTCAGGTGTCTTCCTCCATGACCTTGTCCTTCTTCGAGACAGGGTCTCTCACTAAACCTGCAGTTGGCCAGTGAGCAGCGGCGATCCTCCTATCTCCAATGCCCCAGCGCTGGGCTCACAGGATTATATACTTCCCTGAGTCAAGGGTCAATGTGACCGTAATTCACACAGTACCAAAGCAGGTGATCAGCACGAGGCCGGAAGGAGATGCTGACATGGCCGGGCTGCCTCCTGGACTCTAGATGCCTTTGTGAATTACAGCTTATGTCATCTCTTCCCCACTTCTTGACAGCCTCAGACAGACTAACTGCAGCGGTACAGGCCTGGTCCTAGACGCAAAAGGGAGAGCAGTCCAGCTGCCGTGACTGATCTGCAGAGGACACTGGCGTCCTTCAGCTTGCAGGGGGATAGACACGCATGACCAAAGGCTACTCCTAGCACTGGATCTTCTGGGTGCAGCACCCAAGCAGGGTGAAAGGGGCTGATGTGGCTTTAGAGGCAGCAGATGTTGGCAGCTGTTTTTATTGAAACATAATGTCCGCACATACTTATTGGGTACAGAACAATAATCTGGTTTGTATGTGTCATGATCAAACCGAGTTATCAGAATTCCATCCCCTTAACTATTCATCATCCCATTCTTTGCGAATCATTGGATTCCTTATTATCACAGACTGTTGGAGGCTCAGTCTGTACAAAGTTGTTCTTGTCTTGTTTCCTTTTTTTTAAAAAAACTGTTCACATTTAGTTGATTATTGTGGAGTGGAGAGGAAGTGAGCATAGACGCAGAGGTCAGAAGCTCACTTGGAATCCGTTCTCTCCTTCTGCCATAGAGGTCCTGGGGTCACACTTGGGTCATTAGGTTTGCTGGCAAGTCCTTTCCCTCTGAGCCACCTCACAGGCTCTTGTCTCATGTTCTGTTGTTTTGGTAGCACTGGGGACCAAACACACTAGGCATGCACCACCTCTGAGCTGCGCACCTGGCCGCTGTGGTAAAGAGGCTGGCTGGGGCTTGCTTTGATCTGGCCATTTTTGGCAGAGGCATGCCAGGTGTGGGGCAGAGAAGACAGAGGAACCGGGACTTGAAAGCTGTCACCTGTCAGACAACAAGACACTACCCTTTGTGCAGACTTCTGACAGTTACTTAAAGCCTGCCCTCCACAGCAATCCCTAACCCTACGCTCTACAGTCACCACCTTCTTGGATGGATGTAGACATGACAGATTCCAGCAGGCATCACTTTGAGCTAGAGACATTTTGTTGACAGCATATATGTTCATGTCCTCTTGAGCTGCAGCTTCTCATCACAGTGAACGATCCTCTGTGGATCTTTTGGGTCTCTGGCATTTTGTTTGGCTGGCTTCTTCGGCCTTCAGTTCTACTCCATATGATGGAAAACCACTACCCTCGCACTTTGGGTTTCTGTTTGGTTTATGCTGTTTCTTCCCTTTCTTTTCTTTCTAAAATCTATCCTTCTGCTTTATCTAGACCTAGATTACTATTGGCCTTTCTTTGAGCTTTCTTATTTTTTTCACCTCCACTGAGAAATCTGTTCCTCCTTAAGATAATAAGGTTAACAACAGGACTTTTTCTGCCATGTTTACATTTTATGTGCTGCAGCAATTTTCTTTCGACTACCTTCTGGAGGAGAGATCCATTTCATTTTTCCAGAATAAAAGTTATCCATTTTGGGTCAGGCATGGTGGCACATACATTTAATCCCAGCACTCAGGAGGCAGACGCAGGTGGATCTTTGAGTTTGAGGTCAGCTTGGTCTATATAGAAAATTCTAGACCAGTCAAAGTTACATAGCAAGATCCCCCCCCTCAAATTATGCATTCTATATCTCATTCTTTTTTTGTCATGTAGGTCAAGTGTAAGACCTAAAGCACATTCTTGCGGAACAAGAAACAACCAGTTACTGACTCCTAAACTGCTGAATTACACAGCAAATACCATTGTTCTAGCTAATGGCGAATCTATAGTGTGTGAAGAAAGGAGTTTTAAATAATTCCAAAGAGTTTTTCAAAAGGATGCCTCTAAAAATACTCCCCATGTCTACAACAAAGTAGTGCTATGCAAAAATTACAATTTTAAAATTACAATTGACTTACAATTCGTTTTTCCCAGAATCTGTACTTCGGGCTGGTTAACAACAGTTCCTTGGTAACTGGAGAACAGTACAGAAAAACCTTCAAGCTGAAAGCAAAAAACAAAACAGAATGGAAGAAAAGCTGTTTCAGCAGAATTCACAACAAATCACATTGGTGGGTCAGCAATGCATTTCACGGCTATGATCTTTCTCCAGTAAACCACAATCAGTTAACGTGGAAAGCGTGACAGTGGCTCCCAACATGTGACAGTAGCTGCCATGACTTGGCTATAAAAGCCCCTCTAAAACCACGTGCTAAGGATTGGTGTTCAGTACAGTGTCCAGAAAGAGGCGGGGCTTTGGAGGCACAGAAGACCTCTGATCTAATGCACAGATTAACCCTGTGATGGAGTAATGAACCGATATGACAGCATTACTGGAGGTGGGGCTCACGGGGGGAAGAACGTCCCTGGGGACACATCCTTATCCCTGGTCCTCCCTGTCTCTTGCTTTCTGCTTCATGGCTGCGGGAGGGACCAGCTTTCATCTGCCATGTCTTTTGCCACGTTTCTGCCTCCCTGGGAGCCTAAGAGCACTGAAGCCAGCCAATCACAGACGGAAACCAGGAGCCCGCCAATCACAGACGGAAACCAGGAAGCAAAGGAGATCTTCCCTCAGGTGCCTCGCCACAGTGAAAAGCTGGCTAACAAAGTACCAGTACGGCATCACCCATTTCAGTCCTGTCACCATGCAGGGTCCTCCCCTCCCTAAGAGGCCCATCGCTTTTCTTCTGTTGAAACCATGTGCTGGGGGCTTAAAGTGTTGCACAGTAGTAGAACACTTGCCTAGCAAATGAGCCCCCATCATGAAAAGAGGAAAAAAAAAATAAAGCTTGTATGTGGTCAGGTACAACCAGGAAGGACCACCACCAAATGTTAAGTTACTTCTAGAAAACAGAAAGAGGGTTCGGGAACAGAGAATTCTGCTTTTTGCTTCATATAAATCTACTTTTCTGTGTATGCTGAAGAGCAAAGCCAGAGCCTTGCGTAGGCCGGTCAAGCGCTCTACCCCTGAGCAGCACCCCTGGTCTTGTATTTACATTTCTAGTGAACAGATACTAATTTCTATTAAATTCTAAAATTTCATGATATAGCTTGGAGATTAGGAATACACTCCATGCTGAATTATATTTCCACACACTGTATACTCCATCTGTTTGCATTCTTTGATGTACATAAGCCAGGGCTACACAGTGAGACTGTGTTTCGAACGCACCCACACCTTTCCACCCTAACAGGAGGGGCTTATGAGCCCTCATTTTGAACTGGGCAGATCTCTGTAACTGCCTTGACTACAAAATATGATGGAAGTAATTGCAGGATTCTTTTTGTTTTTGTTTTAAATATAAAAACCAGCACATGGTTTTAACATAAGAGAAGCGATGGGCTTCTCAGGGAGGGGAGGACCCTGCATGTCCCCTCCTCCTGCTCACTGACAGGACAGAAATAGCTGATGGTGTCCTGGTACTTCGTTAGTCAGCTTGTCACTGTGTGGCAAGGAATCTGAGAAAAACAGCTTCAAAGGGGGAAGATCTACTTTGCTTAAAGCAGATTTTGTTTTAATACCAAGATCTACGTTGAGATAGGACTTCTCTGTGTAACAGCACTGGCTGTCCTGAAACTCACTATGTAGACCAGGCTGCCCTCAAACTCACATGAATCTGTCTGCCTCTGCCTCTCCAGTGCTGGACTCACAGAGGTGTGTCACCACACCTTTTAAAGCTTGCTCTCCAGACAATATGTCTGCCTCCTGACTCTCCCTTTGGGCTCTGTTTTGTTTATTTTGACCGGGTCTCACTGTGTCATCCTGGCTAACAGACTGGCCTCACACTCACAAAGATTTGTCTGTGCCTCTGCCTCCTGAGTGCCTGGACTAAAAGCCTACTCACCATCTCTCTCCCAGGATGTTCACTTTTCAACCCTGGATTCTCTACCCACAAAACTAGCTATCTCAGGTTAAAGAAGCCTCTCAGAGACAGACAAGCTCAGAAAGGCAGCTATTCTAAGCTTTGTTGCTGTTCTATGCTTCCTCCCAAGTCTTCAGATTTCAGTCCCACCTGATGCCAGGCAGGCAGAAATGAGCAACCCCCACTGTACACTCACAGTTCCTGATGCAGAGAAACCGAGAGACTGGTGTTACCTTAAAACACTCAGTTACAAGGTAATGCTACATGGCCACAGACAGCTGATACACAGGCTCTGACATCAGGCAGACCTGGATAAAAACCTGGTCCTCACTGGACTTCACTTAACCTGTTTGGCTTCTTATCTTAGTTTCCCCATCTGTAAATTAGGAACAACAATAGTACCTCTTTAAAGGTTATCAAGAGGGTCTAATGAGGATAACAGCTCCCCATGGACTACTGCATTCTCAGTCTCCACCATGCCTGGCCCTTCACAGCAGCCAGGGCATCTTGTCAGTCTAGGATTCTCGAACAGCCATTCATACACACAAACACACCCCCTTACAAAAATGAAAGCGAATGAGCCATTGCTGCAGCCAGCAACACAGATGGGCCACACAAATACAATGTTAAGACAAAGTTGGAGCTGGAGAGTTGGCTCAGCAGTTGGGACAGCCGCTCTTCCAGAAGACCCAGGTTCAATTCCTAGCACTCACATAGCCACTACAAATGTCTGTTACCCTGGCACCTTCTGGCTTCTGTGGGCACTGCAATATGTGGTATGCAAATATACTATATACGCAGGCAAAAACAAGCATTTACATGAAACAAAAATAATAAAGTTTTGAAAAGTGTTTAAGAAGATTTCTTAATCTATCCAGTATATGATCCTATTTACTTTTTGTTTGTTTGTTTTTGACAAGTTCTTACTAAGTAACCTAGGCTGGCCTTGAACTCACAACCCTCTTGTTTCCTCAGTGTTGGGGTTACACCACCCTGTCAAGTCTTCTAGTTATATAAAATTCAAGAATAACCAAAGTTAGGCCATCATGACAAAAGGTCAAAATAGGAATTAGTTCTGGGAGAAGCGTAGCAGTGATTATACAGGGTTCCTGGGATATTGGTAGTGTTCATCTCTTATCAGCTAGATGGTGTTTATACAGGCCTATCAGGCTTCCCCTTACGGCGGAAGTACTCTTCTGTCTAGGTGCTATCTCTTAGTTAAGATGTCTACTCCTATGCAAATAAGTAGCAAAAATCAATTACCTGCATTCCAGTCTTCTTTTCATGGAAGGAGCCCTCAGTCCTTTCATGTGATCTACAGGAAAAGAATCATAAACACGTTTTGTTTCACTTTTTAAAAAGAGGATTCTTCGGCCCATGACAGCTGGGCTGTCTTTGTGAGCTTCCTATTGAGAGACATTACATAAGGCTCACTGTTATGAGCAAATTGATCCCACAGGTCTTTGGTCCTTCTGTAGATGAAGAATGTTTCGGAGTACAGGGCAGGAAACACTAAAAGTTGTCCAACCTGAGTGGATGAAAACAAGCCCCACATGGCTGAGGAGACCAAGGCAGGCAAGTGCTAGGAGCAGCACCTATGTGAACTGATTTGACGACACCAAGGATACGAGAATTCTGCCAGATAACCTAAAAAAGTGATATAAGAAGAAAAAACGAGCCAGGAGGTGGTGGCACACCCTTTAATCCCAGCACTCAGGAGGTAGAGGTAGGAGGATATCTGTGAGTTTGAGGACAGCCTGGTCTACAGAGTGAGCAGAGTGAGTTCCAGGACAGAATCCAAAGCTACATGGAGAAACCCTGTCTCAAAAAAGAAAAAAAAAAGAAAGAAAGAAGAAAGAAGAAAAAGAAAAAAGAAAAAAGCAAGAAAGAACCCCCCCCCCAAAAAGAGGCCACCTGGCCAAGTTAATGATTGGTTTTGTGTGTGTGTGTCAGAGAGAGAGAGAGAGAGAGAGAGAGAGAGAGAGAGAGACGCAGAGAGAGAGAGATTAGTGTGTGTGTGTGACATTGTGTGTGTGTGTGTGTAAGAGAGAGAGAGAGAGAGAGACAGACAGACAGACAGAGACAGACAGACAGGCAGACAGACAGACAGAGACAGATCTCAGGCTCTTGCCTAATATCTCGGGGTGTAGGAGAAGTTTTGAAACATATTTTCTTTATGCATGACAAACGAGAACTAGGGAGGTGTGGGCAAGAGCTAACTAAACCAAACCGATGCTCTCTGTTAGGACAGCAACCAGCACTTCTAACAGCTCAGCCTTACCACAGGGTCCAGGGTCAGATTGCAACCGGAGCTGGGGTTACAGAGACGGTCAGAACTCAATAAAGCCAAGGCGAGATTAAGAGCCGACTGAGACCAAGGGTGCTTTCCAGTGTCTCGCTGGGTCCGCGGTCTCCTTCACCAGGTCCCGACCCTTCGTCCCATCTCCAGCCCTAGTGCCCTAGCAGTAGGTGGCGACTCAATAAAGCCAAGGCGAAGTTAAGAGCCGACTGGGACCAGCGGTGCTTTCCAGTGCCTCGCTGGGTCTGAGGCCTGCTCTCTCCTTCACCTGGTCTCGACCCTTCGTCCATTCTCCAGCCCTAGTGCCCTAGCAGTAGGTGGCGAGAGGGGTTCACTCACCCTTGTGACAGTGCGAAAGGAAGTAGGCGCGGGCTTTCAGGTTCTCCCTGTCAAAGCGGTCAATAGAGATGGTTGGATATTCCGCCATCTGTCCCTGGAAGGAGCTCATAGCGTCAGGAAGGCTAGCCCCTAAACCTGCCGCGGAAGCCGAGGTGCACACTGACCCTGGGTGCCGCCACTTCCGGAACCTGTGCACCGCCTCCCATAGGCCGGTCGAGCCCAGCCACGTCCAATCAAAGGAGCCTAGTGGTAGGGGGCAGAGCCAAAAACATCCAGTCCTGTCCCCGAGTCCCAGGACTCTCGGTTTAAATAGATGCAACAGCTATGCGCTAGCTTGTGTACAAATGTGAACAAGCACCAAGAGGAAATGCAAGGCTCACAGAGCGTGCCTCTATCTCACAGCTGGTCACGGAGAATCGCGTTCCTGCCAGAAAGCAACAACGGAAACCAAAAGTGCTTGGTGCACTGGTGCAGAGCTGCCCGCATCTGTGGAGTAATCGATGCAGGAAGCAAAACACAGCTGGAAATAGTGGCCAGGGAGCTTCCCTTTTCCTAATCACACTGCCTTTCATTTCCTCTTGTCAACAGAAGATTGAGTTCTTTTTCTTTTTTTCCTCTTCTCCCAGCTTGTATTTTACAGGATCACCACGAGGACTGGATGAGAAAACGACCTCTGACTCTTTGTTAATAGAGTCTGTTGGTACTTGTTCACGTTTGTGCATTAGCTAACTATGTCTCGAAGGCTATAATTCAGACATAGATTCTTAGAGGAAAAGAAAAAAATAAAAGTAAAGATCTTGGTGATCTGCTAGCCTCCAGTAATCACTGGAGCTGTATTTTTAGGAAGCCAGAAGGATGTATATAAAGAAACGGAGGGAGAGGAGGATGGGAGAAAGTTTGGGAAAGTTCATAGTAACACTAATAAGATCCACCAAAGACTTTGTCAGTAGTCTTTATTGTCTCCTTCCTAGCAAGTTCTCCTTAGATGCTGATGATCACAAACAGCTGGAACCTCCAAATCCTGCCTTACGGAAGTGGGAAGGAAAATTCCCAAAAGGGCAGGGAGCTAATTACCATATCTGGGGCTACTTCTAACCCTTGGAAATGGCCATTCCTTGTCCACCTCTGTGTTGGAATTAACCTCTTGTAACTAACAGATGAGAACCTTTTGGAATCTAGCAGACCACTAGTTTCCACCCAAAAGCTAAGAATGTTGTCAGACAGCACCTTGGGCCTATACAAAAGCTTCCCCACCGTCTCTGTATCTGCCTCTCTGATGTGTCCAGAAATTTTTTGTTTTAACAACAAAATGTTGTTTTGTTTTAAGAGACAGGGTTTTTCTGTGAAACAGTCCTGGCTGTCCTGGAACTCACTCTGTGGATCAGGCTTTCCTTGAACTCACAGAGATCTGCTTGCCTATGCCTGCCTATGCCTCCCAAGTGCTGGGATCAAAGGTATGCACCACTACCACTCGACCCTGAAATGCATTTTAAACATGCCTTGATTTATGACTTTCTTTGTTCTATAATACTTCATGAAGCTGTTTCCACATTGGAAAATGGAATTTAGGGTGATCTAAGTCTGTGTTCCTGGCCCATGGTCACTTAAAAGAAATCCAAATAAATGATCTCTTCTTCCCTGTGAGATGAGAGCTGTGGGTCCCCAGCGGTTACAGCTGACTAAGATACGCCTTCAAGAGTCCAGCACACTCGAAAACCCACGGAAGTGAAGAATACAGCAAACAGTATTTCCCCAGAGACAGAAGTGATTCCAGAATAATGCCAGGAATAAGTTATGAGGAGACGGGCCAGAATGCCACGATCAGATAACATTTGCTTGCTCTTGCAGCCATAACAGTTCTGTTCCCATCCAGATTTTCATAAAGAGGAATGTGGTAAGAGGGAAGGCAGGCAGTGGAGAGAAGTGGTCTAGACATAGTCACTAAAGTACACATTTTACCACAGCAGAACTGACTAAGCCTTGGTTTTGTATAAGATGGTCTGTCTTAGAATAATGGGGACTGTTGATGTGGCTGGGTTGCCTATACAGAACAATAAATTCTGCATTGAGTCTGGCTATCTATAGAATTGTTCCTAAGTTGAAACTCCTCAAGAGGCAAGGGAAAATAAGGTTCTTATTCTTATTTATTTGCTCACCTTTTTCCTCTTTATAATGTATACAGTAGGAAATAATAGTGAGAATCAAGTTATCAATGTAAGTTATCAATGTAAGCAACATGTACACTTAGATTCTTACAACTTAACTTTCCCACTCAAGACTCTTTCCTTTTACAAGTTTTTACACAACACTGAACACATATAACACAGGCAAGCAAATCCAACATCTGCTTATAATAAATCATAAGTAGATCTATTTGAAAGCAATTCTTTGGTATGGTGTTGTGTGGCATGATAGCATGTGTAATGCAGAGTGTGTGTATTTTATGTTTAAAATTGAGACTGTTGGGTACTTTGATCCTGGAGGCAGAGGCAGGCAGATCTTTGTGTATTTGGAGCTAGCCTGGTCTCCATAGCAAGATCCAGGTCAGTCAGAACTACACAGTGAGACCCTGTCTCCAAATGGTAACAAACTCTAGAACAGAGACTTCAGGAAACTGCAATTAGGCCAGCTGTGGCTGGAGAAAAGTGATCCAGGACTACAGAGGAAGACAGCAAATTTGCATGGGCAGCATGCAAATTCCTAAGTCTTTATTGGCCTTATAAAAATCTTTGAGAGGTTTCTTGTTGTTTTGTTTTGTTTTTACTGAGAATAAAATAGAAAGCTATTGCAGGGTCCCAAGTCAAGCCCAAGACTGACATAATCTGACTTAGGTTTTAAGTGGGCTGTGCTGACTATCGTGTTGAGTGGAGGTGGGGAGAGATGTTGGGAATTCCTGTAATCACAAGAGAAACTGCAAAGATATAGCTTTTTGGACTTACATGGGAGCTCTCAAAGCCAACAGGTCTCACTGATGGGTGGACTAAGAGAAACAGAGAGCTTTGGGCAACAGCTATTCAAAGTGGAAGACATGGAAACAGCAGAATTTCCTTTGTTTGGGGGAAGAGGTTGGCTTTGGATGTGGAGCACAAATTGTATAGATAAATATAAAATTCAGAGATATATCTTGGCTAAGGAAATTAATCTGGGAGTTATAAACAGATCCTTTTTATTTTTAGTATTTAGTGACTTTAAAAAGAATTTTGCAGAATTTTACCTATAAAAAAAAACCAAGGCTTGTTTACCTGGCTCACAAAATTCTTACATTGTTAACTATTGGTTCTGGGAATTTTCAGTGAACTGGCCCTCACTCATCGTCCTTTTCCCTTTCATCCTCTGTTTATTAGCAAATCATCATGGCTCGCCACTCAAAAATACCGATCTGGATTCACTTTTCACCGAAATAGGTGATATATTAACTGTTAGTGAAGATGCTGTTGGGAAAACAAAGCTATAGATGTTAGTTACCTTTCATTTAGTCATTACCAGACACCATGCCGGATGGATTACTTGAATCCATACACACTGACAGTCATCTTTTATCAGGATCCAGAACCTCTGCGATCTCTACTCTCTCAAAGGCTTTCATATAACGTCTCATCGCAGCAGTGAACAGTTCCCAGCTGGTGCATTCCACGGTACAGAACACAGATCTCCTTGGTCAGTCTAGCCCTTAAAGAGCAAAGACCAAGAGCAAAGACCAAGAGCAAGGGGCGGGGCCTGAAGGAGCTGGGCGTGGCCTACGTGAGCGGGCGGAGTGGCGTCACTGCGTTGCTAGGAGACGGGCCGGCGGCAGCGGCCGCAACAGTTGGCCTCTGGCTGACTCAGCTTACAGACCCCGAGTAGAGAACGCGAGCACCGCAGCACCCTCCAGCGAGGCCGGCTGAACCAGGGTAACCGCGGATAGCGGGAGCCGGGTCTGAGCGGATGGGCAGCGAGGACCCGGGCCCTGACCGCCGGGCCCCTGGCTCCGTCCTGCCCCGGGAGCGCAAGCCCCGCCCCTTCCGCCCGGCAACCCTGGTACCTGGGTTTTCTGTCTTTTAGGGCGGGTCTTTATTTGGCCCTTCCTACCTCTTCGGATAGGCTCCCCAGCTACACGCTTCTGCTTCCCAAGGCAGCTCCTGTAATGCTCTTCCATTTAATGCCTTGGTTCAGAGGACTGTCTCTAGTCCAGTTTCTTCTGGGCAAATTATACCTCACAGAAATCGTGATTTACGGCAAAAAGAAAGTGGTTTCTGGCAGACAGAACGCTAGCAGTGGGAGCTCTCTTAAGGGTGGCTTTATGCTCTACAATCGCTAATTTGCACACCTGGGCTGTGGAACGACCTTTGGAGAGTGCATGGGATGCGGGGCGGCACTTTAACTGGGTTCAGAAAATGGTGTTCTGTTTCGTACACAGTGTGAGAACTGGGTTCAGATTAACAGTCGCGTTCATTATCTTGGCCAAGGTTTCCATATAGTTTAAAGGGATCCTCAGTTATATTCTGCCACCTGCTTGGAGCACAGATAATGAATTAAAGTGAGGAGAGTTGGGGTCGTTAGATTAGGCATGTTGTCATGTTGTCGTGTTATTAGCGGTAAGGGACAATAGCTTCAGCGACAGCAGGCAGGACTCACCATCGATCCCTAAAACACCCATCAAAGAGACGCTCAACGTGAAAAGTAGAGAAAGATGTAATTAAGGTGGCACACGACCAAGAGCGATAAGGACAAAGGTCCTGGGACCCAGGTTTGTGACATAAGCTTTAGGGTTAAGGAGAGGAAGAAACTAAATAGGTCATAAGAGGTATGCATAACAAACCGTCTCATTTAAGTTGTGGGTTTCCTGTTGTAGAACTTGCGGTGACTGGCTACATCACAGGTGTCTGCTTTTACATTAGAACCTTAATTTCTCAGGGACTTGAGTTTGGTGGCATTTTTTTCCCTCCAGTACACACATAGCCCTTAATAGTGCTTAATGAAATTCAGTTTCTAAAATGTAGACACTCAAGCATTGCCACTTCCTGTTTGTAGTGATACACATATATATTATAAGTGTGTATTATATAATATTTGTTTCATTCACTATTTTAAAATGCTATGCGTAGGTATTCTTATGTGAGCAAAACAAGAAAATGACTGCTTTTACACAGCCTTACAAAAACAGAAAGAAATATGTATATAGTTGTTATTGTGGTAGTGTCTTTACAGAGTAAAAATTAACAAAAAAAGTATCCCTTTCACAAATGATTGAGGATTTTTTTTCTTGGCAACAAGTTAAATATTGAAGCATTGATATATGTATATCCTTTACATCTGATGACATTGTTAGTCTTGCTTTGCAGTTATGAATTTTAAAATGACTTTGTGCTATTTCAAAGATTCACCCATTCTTTATGAAAGGCAGTAGCATAAAATGAATAAAAAAAACCCAACATGCTTCACCAAAAATATTTGGGAGAATAGCTATTTTTAGAGAAACATCAGGCCTGAACATCACCATTAATCAGGGGAGAAGACAGCTAAGTAGTGTCCCCAACTTATTAGCACTCATTCATAACAGCATTCCATAAAAGTAGGTGTGATACAAATGCCTGAAATCCCATCTCTTGGGATATGAAGCCAAGAGGATCAGAAGTTCAGGATCATCCTCAGGAGTTCCAGCCCACCTTGGACAATATGAGACCCTGTGTCAAACATAAAATAAGTGTCTTCTGGTTACAAACAAATTTATACACAAACCTCTTGCCTGGAATTTTACAAATGACATCTCTAACATAATAATAATACCCTCAGTAAATTGCTCACACTTCCCTGTAGGTACTGCTTTCTCATTCTCTCTGTTTTTATGCACCTGGCTAGACTATAAGCTTGAGTTCCCCTGCACCAGTCAATCCAAAAGTAGTGATGAGCATCTTTACCCAAGAGAAGTTCCAGCAACAGTGCCGCATGTGGATTTGCTCGTGGTTCCCTGGTTGTTCCCAGGTGAGCTCTTTGCAAGTTGGCTCCCTTCATACTACTATGTATGGCTTTAGCAGGAGCTGGCGTCACAGACTACAGTACTCTGAGGTCATCTGCACAGGCCCGTCAGCTGGAACTTTCTTACTCATCTGTTCGCGACTTGCCAATGAAATATTTTGAAGGACCTCCAGAAGATTCCACTGAACTTCCTCAAACAAACAAACAAAAAAACAAAACCAAGACCTGCTTAAAAAATGCCTTGATGGAGACTCCAAACCCTCTTCTTGAAGCGTGGTGGGATGCATACCGGTCATGGAGACTCCAAACCCTCTTCTTGAAGTGTGGTGGGATGCATACCGGTCATGCTGAACACTTTTCTTTCCCAGATTACCCAATGGAGACCTTGCTCTGTGGACCATAGTAAGGACACAGACTATCCCATGACCATCTTACTCACGTCCCTAACCCTCCAGGGCTGCAGCCTGGTATCTTTCTCAGATTTTATCTGGAATGGGTGTGATGCGTTTTATCATTTGAACTTCAACAAGATGCACTTCTGTCCTTGCTACGTCTGGTCAGTAATTCCTCCACCAGTTTCTGTAGTTTTAATGTTTCACGGATGCTTGGTTTTGGCTCAGTTCCTGGGTAAGAAGTTTCCTGTATGCTGAACTGCAGTTCCATCTATGTTTGCTCCTTTGCCAAATAAGCTGCTTCTGAATCGAGTTATATATCCTTCAGGTAAAATTCATAACCAACCAAGGAACACTTGGCTTCCATAGTTTCTTCTACCTTCTGATTCATTGATCTGTATGGCTTGGTTTACAAGTTCAGTCGGGGCCCTCCCATCCCTCCTGGTCTTCTAGAAGCAGAAGTAAAGGCCTTCAGTTCAAGCCTTATCATGAACCCTTGCGACAAGTTCCTGACTGGACAGAAATGCTGAATTGACTAATTTTGATCGACAAAGAGAAACACCACAGCATTTCCTAAGAAGAGGTGTGGAACTTTCTTTAGAAGTTGAGAAAAAGTGCAGAAAATCAAATCCATTGTATCTACTGTCCCTATTACTAAACTGAAAGGTAAGGCTCCTCACTGGATGAATTGAATACTCCATGAGTACAAGGTCACATCTCGACAGGAGCAGGTGAAAGGGAGCAGGCCGGAGCCAGGGACATCTGTGAGAACAGGCCTGAGCCAGGGACATCTGTGGGAACAGGCCTGAGCCAGGGATCTCTGTGGGAATAGGCCTGAGCCAGCGACCTCAGCCAGAGCAGGCTTGAGCCAGCGACCTCAGCAGAAACAGCCTCAAGCAAGCAACCTCCATGGGAGCAGGCCAGAATGACCCCCAGGATTGCAGAGCTACCCCTGGGGAGCACTGAGTGACCTCTGGGAACACTGAGTGATCTCTGACGTGACTAGAACTGTGACCCTGAAGCACCATAAGGAGCAACCATCTGAGACTTGGATACACTGGCACTTGAAGAAAACCAAGAAAAAGCAATGAAACAGATGAAAGAAATTATTTAAGACAAGAAAACTGAAATAGAGACAATAAAGAAAACAAAAGGAAAGAATTATAGAAACAGAAATCATGAGAAAACGATAAGGAACCACAAATGCAAGCATGAACAGCAGAATACAAGAGATAGAAGAGAGAATCTCAAGCACTGAAGGTAAAATAGAGGAAATAGACTCATTGGTCAAAGAAAACATTAAATCTAATGAAAGTTTAACACAAAATATCCAGGAAATATGAAACACCATGAAAAGATCAAGCTTAAGAATAATAAGAGACAGAAAAAGGAGAATTCCAGCTCAAAAGCACAGAAATATATATTTAACAAAATCATAGAAGAAAACTTTCCCAACCTAAAGAAATATGCATATGAAGATACAAGAAGATTACAGAACACCAAGTAGAGTAGACTGGATCAAAAAAAAAAAGAACACCTCCCCTTGCCATATAATAATCAACACACTAAATATACAGAATAAAGAAAGAATATTAAGAGCTGCAAAGTATAAAGACCAAGTAACATATAAATGCAGACCTATCAGAATTATACCTGACTTCTCAATGGAAACAGTGAAAGCCAGAAGATCCTGATCAAGTGTTATGCAGACATTAACAGACCAAGGATGCCAGGCCAGACTACTAGGCTCAGCAAAACTTTCAATCACCATAGACAGACAAAACAAGATATTTCATGACAGAACCAGATTTAACAAAACCCAGCCCTACACAAAGTGCTAGAAGGAAAACTCCAACCCAAGGAAGTTGGCTACATCCACAGAAACACAGACAATAGATGATCTCACAGCAGCAAATTCCCCAAATGGGAAAAACACACACAATAACATCACCAACAATGAAAACTAAAACAATGGGAACTGGCACTCACTGATAATTAACATCCCTTAATATAAGTGGACTCAACTCACCTACAAAAAGACACAGGCTAATAAATTTGGTACGAAAACAGAATCCATCCTGCTGCTGCACACAAGAAACACACCTCAACCTCAAAGACAGACATTACCTCAGAGTAAAGAGTTGGAAAAAATTTTCTAATCAAATGGACCTAAGAAACAAGCTGGAGTAGCTATCCTAATATCTAACACAATAGGCTTCAAACTAAAATCAATCAAAAGAAACAAAGAAGGATAGTTTATATTAATCACAGGAAAAACACATCAAGAGGAACTCTAAATACTGAACATCTATGCCCCCAATACAAAGGCACCCTCATATGTAAAAGAAACACTGCTGAAGCTTAAATCACACATTAGACCTCACACACTAATAGTGGGAGACTACAACACCCCACTCTCACTAATGGACAGGTCTTCCAGACAGGAACTTAATAGAGAAATAAGGGAACTAACAGATGTTATGACTCAAATGGACTTACCAGACATCTATAGAATATTCCATCCAAACATGAAAGAATATACC